GACTGGAGAAGACATTGGCGGCAATGCCGAAGATAGCAGCGGTGAGGAAGCGCAGGGAGGATTACTTTATCAAGGACAGGATACTGAGCGGGCAGGAGGCAAACAGGCAGAGCGATCTGGAGTACATTGAGAGGCACAAGCAGCTGCTGTGTGAAGAGACTGACGGTGAAAGAGATGCAGTGAGGAGTGTGAGGAAGAAGGAGGCACAAATGAACTGACGGCGAGTATGGCGTAGAGTGCAATAGTAGTGAGAAGTATTTGATATGAGCGGAGAGTGGATCAATACATTACTGAAAGAAGCACGGCAAACGAGAGGATGATGCATGCATCAGCACATCGAATGGATATGCCAATGCGGAAATGGAGATAAGATATTATTAATATAAAACGATTAAATGTTCGATTTATTGGACGATTTTAATATATGCAGGCGAATGATGGATGATATACAATTTTGGAAGAATTGAGTATTTGTTTAATAGTTTTGCACACCCCCAAATGACCGAACGAAGTTTAGAACTGAGAAATGTTGGATTGAAAGTTGACAACAAAGACACGAAGCTGAGTGAGAAGCAGATTATGCTGTTGAATGGAGTAAGCGCGAAGTTTATGGCGGGGAGGGTGACTGCAGTGATGGGAGCAAGCGGAAGCGGAAAGACAACGCTTATGTCGCTTATTGCGGGATATGTGCATTCGAATTCGCTGGCATGCGGAAGCATCTTGCATGATGGAAAAGAAAGGGAATGGAACACATGGCTGGCGAATATGGCGTATCTTGAGCAAGATGATTGTTCGATTGCAAAGCAAACGGTTGAGGAGTTTATGCTGATTGTGATCGGGATACGAACAATCAAAGACAAGAAGGATGTGAGTACAGAGCGGGAAGTAGTGAATAGCGTGATGAAAAAGCTTCACATTGATGGAATCAAGGGAATTCTGATGGAAGCGATATCTGGAGGAGAAAGGAAGAGGGTGATGATAGCAGCGGAGATGGTTGTTGGAGCAGATGTGTTGCTGATGGATGAGCCTACCTCTGGCCTTGACTCGCATCTTGCATTGGATTTGATGATGAATGTGCGTGACTATGTGAGGGAGCACAACAAGATAGTGATAGTAACGATACATCAGCCGGGGCCGGGGCTGTTTGATCTGTTTGATGATCTGCTGTTTATGAACAGGGGATCGATTGTGTACTTTGGACAAGTGGACGAGTGTGACAATTTCCTGAAGAGTAATGGAGTGGAGAGGAAGGGCAAGCTATCGCTGAGTGAGTTTCTGTTTGAGCTGTTTTCTGAAGACTCAAGGATTCCTGAGATAGCTGATAACCGAGCAAGAATCCACGAGATTGCAAAGGCAGCAGTGGAAAAGGGAAAAGAAAGCATCAAAGGGAGCAAGATGGCAACGGGAACAAACTACAAGGTTAGTTTGCGGGTGGAACCGAAGAAATCGCTGCTGATTGCATGGAGACACATGACTATTGAGTGGAGAACATGGATATTTTTGAGGAGTAGGATTGTTGAGATGCTTTTCATATTGCTTTGCTTTGGAATTATTTCGTATATTGGATTTCTTGAAAATATGAGAACATCGTATATTAACTATTTTGATGCCATGGATCTTGATCCCGAAGTTCGATTTACTATTGGTAAGGATAATGAAAGTCTTTATGCCATGAATCTTAAACAGATCATTGAGTTTTGGAAGACGAAAATTGATCCATCTTTACACAGAAACATGGTTGAGGCGTATCTTGTTGAAAACATTAATATTATGGTGCCGATACTCGGACTAATACCCTGCAGTTCGATGCTGACGGATCTCAGCTATATCACAAGGGAGATGAGGAAGGGAGCATATGGAGTTCTGACACTGTATCTGTCGGCATTTATTATTGAGGCGCCGCTTATTCTGTTCCGATGTTTTGCCATATGCATGATATACTCGGGAATTGGGATTGCAGAAGGGATTACGCAGTATTTCGTCATGAGACTGTTTGCGACATTTGTTTTTATGTGGATATCAAACCTTATGCTGAGGTGCATGCTTTCGCCAGCAAGGAATGCAGTGCTTTACAATTTTTTCAATCTGGTTATCCATATGATAATGCTGATTGCGTCTTATCCCATTAATTTGATTTTCCTTAGTGAAAATGTTCCATATTTTGGGTATTTCAAGTATGTTATGTACTTGGCTCTTCTAATCTGGCCATACAGATTTTTTGACTCGCTGTTAGAAATTAGATACATAATGAAGGTTTGTAATGATGAGATTCTTGATAACAAGGACAATACAGGATACAAGTATGCTTTGTCAAGATTCTTGAGGAATCCAGCGAGTATTGTCATGGCTCATAAAAGCTTTTTGAACCATCCTAAAGTTACCGAAGAGTATGTTATGTGGGCATATGGATGTGCTGGCATTGTGGTGGTAATTGGGCTTAGCCTGTTTTTCCTGGGTAGGAGAGTGATACCACAGATGCGTTTGAAGCTATCTAAATAAAGTGAACTAACGCTATTTTTAGTTTAAGTTTGGAAGAAATTATTACAGGCCCTGTACTTTATATGATTGGATGCATGAGCAGGAATAGACGAAATGTATCTGGGCTGAGTAAATATCCAAAAACGATACTTGTGGTTGATGTGTATGGCACAGTAACTAATCAGATCAAAGAATCGGTCAGGTGCCAAGCTAGTGGCATCCAGGTTGATTTTGAAGAAATGCAAACACATTATTCGCTGGTAATTGTTTGCAACAACAGGTTCAAGTTTAGAGTGGGCAATCCGCTTTCGCTTGTGGACTGTGAGATATGGTTCAGTAGAAAAGCATTTTCGTTAGACGTGTTTATTGATGCACTCCATCATTATTCAAAGTGCGAAATACGCAATGGCATGTGACAGGGCAGTATAAAGGCTGTTGGCATGAGACCCTGGTGATTATGAAGCACGAGTGCACACATGGATCTCGGCGTAAAGGACACGAAGCATGCTTTGCAGAATTCAGATTGCAGAAGGAGCTTGAATCTCTACACCATCTCTCCGCAACAAAGCTGCTGATGGTTTCTGCAGATGAAGGATGGTGTGTACAGTTGGAGTACACAATGATGGTTTTTGAGGGAGTGTATGAGGGGAGAGTCGTCAGGTTTATGCTCAAACTTCCTTGTGAATATCCATTCAAATCGCCAAAGGTGATGTGTCTCGACCGTGTATTTCATCCCAATATAGACGAAAATGGAAATGTGTGCATGGAAATCCTAAGGCTGGGATGGAAGCCTATCTATGGGCTTGAATGTATACTTGCAAATCTACATGTGATATTTGTTGATATATCTGCGGAGGATGCATTAAATACATATGCAGGGCACTTGCTTGACTCTGATTATGACAAATTCATAAGGATTGCAAAGGGATTTGAGGATCCCTAGTGCTTTCAAAACAGTACAGCAAAATATACAGTATAGCCTTGCCTCATCCTTTTTGTATGATTGCCACATACTCCATCTGTTTGCATTCTGCAATTTCCTTTATGATGAAGTCAAATGGAAAGCAGATCGGATTGCCATTGGCAATAATAAACACAGATCCTTTTGTAATTTTCTTATTGATCCTGCTTTCAATAAACTCACACTGTATGTTTTGTGGAGCCACTACTGCTGAGATTCCATTTGGACATGTGTATATTTCTATGCAGCCATACTTCTCTTGAGTAAATATTCTTGATGGCGTTCCCCTGCATTCAACACCTTCCCATTGTTCAATTATAGTCTTCATTTGTGGGAGGCTCTTCTTCGGGGTTTTGAACACACGACCGCTCATCACTCATCACTCAACCAGCACTAAGCATCCGGCATCCCAACAGCCGTTTATCAACTACACAGTGTGCTTACACACTCCTTATAGGCAATCCCACAGCATGCTAATGCTAATACAAAATCAATCTCCTCATCTAATCAAACACAGATGCATCAAAATGGCACCGGCCAATAACAAAAATACATTCATAACACCTCTCATTTATTGCTCTTCTTTTCGGCCTTCTTCATGTTTCTCCTAAGAGTACCAAACATCTTATAGCTCTTCTTCCTCTCGTCCTTTCTAATCCTCCTGGGCTTGACCTTTATCTCTGTCCCTGTCATCTTTGAAACAATGTTTTTCTTCTCAATTTGCTCTAGAATATCTGCAGATGCATATATTCTTGCATTCATCATTGACCTGTGCGTCCCATATCTGTTGTTCATCCCTGCAATCACAATGTTCTTCTTGTTTGTCTGATACAGCTCAGAAATCTTGTCTCGCACCTCATCCTTTGACGGGCCTGCCATTCCCGGATGATGTGCAACAACCTCAAGCTCCTTTCTTGACAGAAGCTTGTTGTCTCTCATACTCGTGATCTCAAGCTCCAAACTCTACAGTTAAACTTCTTCCAAGGCACCTACCATTTCGTAAGGGATAATTTTTTCCAGCATGATGTGCCATCCATGATATTTTTTCGAGGGCTGCAACCCCTTTGAAATGGTAAGTGGCACCTTGCAAGCACCCAAGAGCAATCTAACTTTAGGCAGTTACTACTATCAACAAGGCAGGCAAAGTCAGAAACCAGACACCAAAGGACCCAGTCAAGGAAAAGGAACGGCTGCTGTGTGGTCGCAGCAGACAGAGATTGAGATTTGAAAAGAGATCGCAGATGGGATACTTCGAAGCAAACGGAAAGATTAAAATGAATCCTCAGTCTTGAGAAATGATAAAATAAAATCGTTCTTGATCCTTAGTGTTAGAGCCTAGCATATCATGCAAGAATCATAACAAAAATTATTTCTACCCCTGTGCAGCCTTCGAAGCTTTCTGGTTGATACCTGGATTGTCAAATGGATGCATATAACAAGTGCTAGCTATCATATAGTTGATAAAGGCATACATTTTAATCTAATTGTACGGCTGCTATTCTGGTTCAGCGCTACTCTTCAACTGCGGCGCATCTTCATTCTGCGACTCAACAATTGCCTTGGATGCATGTGATGCAGATCCTGCTCCACTTGCAACCAGTATGACAGTGTCTCCTCGGATAAATACACTCCCAAGCCTTCTATTTACTTGCCGCCCTCGCTTCTTTGCCCCTTTGTTCTTACTGCCGGTAACTCCTGTCTCCACTGCATCCATAAGCAGCATGTTGTAATGTCTATCGTAAGCTACTACACAGCCTATTACTTTCCTATTGTTTCTCAAGCTCACAATCACCGGCTTCCTACTAACCATGCATCTTCGGATAAGCATCAGCGGTCCCTTCATCTCCATAGCCTCCTTTTCACCAGGATCAGCATTGGTTGGGAGAAACATAATGGGCTCGAAGCCAATACTCAAATACTCAAAAATACTTGTTTATTACGAAACAACAGGGCACACCTTCTTGTGCTTTACAAACCCAACTAAACGATTAAGAAACTTGTTAGATGCCTTGTTGTGGTAAAAGCTATCGATAAATCCAGAAATGACCTCATTCGATATCTTCTCCCAATACTTCATTGCAACCTTGATCTCCCATCTGATGTCATCGAGCTCCTTCTGTATATCGACATTCTTGATTATCTCATCCATCTTCTTGCTCATCCTCATCCTTTTTACCTGCAGATACGAAACATTCAGCTCCTTTGCAGGCATCCCCCTCTCAAGATTCCTTCGCACATACATGTCGTAGTTCCTTACTATGCTTGCTATGATTCCGCTCGTGCTCACGCCAAGCGTCCTTCGGATCGGCAAAAACATCCCAAGATCCTTCACAAACTTGTATATGTCGTCCATCCCTTCTCCCTTGTATGGAACATCGTCATGTGCAACAAAGTCAATCCTGTGCTTCTTCAAAAAGTCCATAGTCAGAACCCAAGGCGCACTGGTTATCACCTCATCGACATATCTGCAGTGGTACAGCCCTTCTGCACGCTCATTCTCATCCATCACGAGATTCCCCTTCAGCCTCACTGTTATGTCATCGTCAGTCACTCCAACAAGCAAATGAACATTTGGAAACAAATTCTTCGCTTGCTTGAGACTTCTTGCATGCCCATAATGAAACAAATCATACACACCGTCACAGTATATCCTCACCGGCCGTTTAGTGGGAATTCTGTACTTCCTTGGCTCCGTGCTCATCTCTTCATACTCAAACATATTTCCATCTGGATACATGGGCGCCATCATAACATACTCCTCGCTCGCATCATCTGCTCCATCAATCATACAGGGCCATATCTCAACAAATAAATAAACCATCCAGGCCCTAATCAAATCGCATTCAGCCTAAATGATCAAATCATAGCCATTTACTTCAAACCCATAGATAGCTATTGGATGTAGTCAAGATCGTTTGGAATTGCAAACCCTCCGTTGAAATCCGCCTTATCCATCGAAAATCTATTGCAAACATAGTCCTGCACAACAAAGATGTTATCGATCATCTTGTTGCATTCTTCAACGGCACTTTGCTTATCAGAAACAAGTCTTTTGTATGCCTCTGGATCAACGTCCCGAAACTTGTCCAGCTCTTTCTTCAGATCCTCATCAATCGTCAGCAGCATGCTTAGTTTCTCCTCAAGCTCACGCCGTTCCTTAGTATATTTCTTAATGCTCTTTTCCTTCTCAGCATACATCCTCTTGCTGTTTATGCTCTCCTCCAGCCGCTCACATTCTTCCATCAGCTGCTTGCATCTTATTCTTTTCTTCTGTGGCCCATCCGATGCAAATGACCAGTATAGGCTGTTTATGCCAACCTTCTCGTTGAAAACAAGCCCGTCATCAACAAGCTGCTGCAACATCTCTTTGATGGTGTTGACAACGATTCCCTTCTTCGATCCTATTGTCTCCAGCTCTTGCAGCTTAAAAAATGTTTTGCTCTCCCGTATGATCTCTAGCAGAATTGTCTTCTTGAGGTCGGATCGCATCTTGACTGTTGCCATCTCTAAGGGTTTTGTGCCATGCTGCATTAACATAAAGCACAATCACAGACATGCGATACCCATGAAGTTGCTTGAGCTAACCGCAGACAACATCAATGCCGTGTCGATTGAGATGACAAGGAACAAAGAAATGCTAAAAGAAAACGTAAATCATCTGATAGGATTTATGCTACAGAACTTTCCAGAAAAGAACGAGCTTCTAAGCAAGATCAAAGTGCTGAACATGTATCGCAAGCCATCCAAGCAGATCGACACCGAGCTGGATGTGATGGAACAAATCGCATTGAATGTGTTTGCAGCGAAAGGCATCGACAAGGAGACATTTGATGCAAGCATGGCTGAGCTGTTTAAAGACTCAAGCACGTTTTCAAGAGCGTTTGTGATATACTTTTTCAAAAACTGGAGTGCTAAGCCAGAAAGAATTGACCAGGCCATGAATGCTCTTTCAAATCTTATACTTTCAGAAGCAGGACTTAGAAGCAGGTTCGATGAGTTTATGTCTGAGTTTGAATATGCTGACGAGAATGTGGAGTGCGAATACGAAGAGTCAGTTGAAGACAGTAATGTGGGCGAAAGTCATAGTGATTCTAATGGCCAGGCGAATGCCGAAGATTTCAGAGGTGATGAGTGCACGAATGCTTTTGATAGTGAAGACAGTGAAGAAATCAATAAGGTAAATGAGCATCTGTCTGCGATTTTCAAAAACAAAAAGAGGAAGATATCATCAAAATCATTAGTAACGTGTGTCAAGATTCTTGATGCAATCGAAGTAATCATTCAAAATAACTTATCTTGTCAGTACGATATTGTTCCTGTTCTTATGTTCCTTTCTTGCCACTGCCATAACAATTTGGTACTGAAGAGGTCGATGAAAATCATGAAGATAGTATTCAAATGCAAGGAATACGCAGACAGGACTCGCTTATTTGAAATGTTCTGCTGCTTGTTGCAGGAAAACGCAGATATGGTAAGAATGGGAATGCTGATTATTGATGTATGCAAGGACACATTTGACTGGATCGTGTTTTTCAGGTGCACTGAGGCAAACGAAAAGATAGATCTTGACTTAATGGACAGGAAGTACTTCTCTCCTGCTTGCTTCTATGAATTCTTGATTTTCACAGAGTTTCCAGAAAGGTACTTGAAGCTTGCTAAACTCATCATCAAGAATGAAACAGACATCGGAATGCTCAAGGCTCTCAAATGCTCAGTAAGAAGCAACCTTGCTCCGCAGTATCATCTGCCGCTCATACAAGCCATCACGTTCCGGATGAATTGCCTTGTTTCAAACAGCAATAGCATAGACATGCAAGCTCCAGAAAAGCGAGTCGAAGCTGCAGACAATAATACTAATTGAAGTTTATTTCATATTCTATTTATATGTGGCCAACATTTTAACATCAACAATCATTTGATATAATTGCACAGCATCTTACGACTAAATTCTGAGTTATTATAAAACACATTTTCTGTGGCAGAAGTTCGTTCTTCCTGCCTTTTCAAGCGGCACTGCGTCCTTAAGCATCCATGTATCTTCGTTATCATCCCACTCAACCTCGATTCGGTTGTGGCATACACCACAGAACACAGCTCCTCCAGAATGTGCAATCTTCTCCACTTTCTCAACCTCAAGCTTGAGCTTGATCTTCTCAATGTTCTTTGTCCATGCCTCCAGTGTGGGAAAAAACTCCCTGCTAACACAGTCCTTCTCCCCCATCACCCTTGCCTTTCTTCGATGCTCTTCAACATGCATACCCATCTGCTCATCCCCTCCCTTCGAACTTTCATATCTCAGCCCACATAGCTTGCATTGGTTTGGAAGATACAGTATGAATGGATCTGCATTCTCCTGCAGATATTCGTTATTAAGAGTTTGTGCATCACATTCCTTTCGATTCCCTGCATTCTTAACCACCGCTTCCTCAAATATACCTTTCTCGGCTTTTGTAGTTTGCATGCTTTTGCTTTCTTTCTTTGCCTCTTCCTTATTCATCATACCAGTCTCCGTCTCCTCAATAAATCCTCCACATCCTATAATATTACCGTCTTCAATATCAGTCTTGACTCTTTTGCATCCACTATCGCCTTCTCTACAAAGTAGCTTCACAAACTCATGATCTCCTGAAAACTCCCTTCTGCGCTGCTTGAAATAATCAAGATATCTTGGATTTTTGCTGCATAAAAGCAGTATAAAGTCCAAAACTGCATCCATATTGCTATGCCCCCCGTATTGCCTCATTAACGCCTCTCCAATCACATCCTCCTTATACCTGAATCCTTCAGAAATCATAAACAGCACATTCTGCACAATCTTGTCATTCTTCTTAAGAACACTCAGAAGAGAAATAAACTCATCCATCGAGGGCTAATACACATATCTTTTATGAATGCATTCGCTGCTATTCCACAAGAATCACCTAATAGCTCAGGCACATGTGCAAGACTCCACACATGTGCTGTTATAATGCATCACAGCCATTCATTACAATCATACACCACCTAGAATGCTCAAAAACCCCCAGACCTCCTATCAGCATACTTAATCTTCTTTTTGCTTTCCTTCTTAGCTGTAGCTTCATCATCCTTCCTGAATACACTTCTCAGCATCTCATGGAATTTCTTATTTACCTTGCCCGGCTCAAACTTTACTTTGACTTTTCTGTTGAATTTATGCCACCTCTTCAACTCTTCGATGTTGTCTGGAAACTCAACTTTATAATCCTCCACCTTCTCATTCACTAACTCTGTTACACTCATACCATCAACGCTCCACTTAAATATCCTGCTATTAAACAAAAAGCAAAACTTGTCTTCGCAAAAAAAGAATCCAAGAAACTCATGCACATCAATATCATACATCATCCCTTGCGAGTTTATCAGGTCAAACCTATCGCAAAAGATAAAGTCCCCGTTAGTGTTGTACAGCGCAACCATAGTGTCTCCAACACAAAGCTTCAGGGGCTTACCTGTGTATATAGACTCGGAAGTTCTCTCCTCAAGATTCAGAGACGTCACTTTCGTTGCCTCTCTAATGTACAGCCTGTCTCGTAAAATACTGTTCTTTATTAGCGACCTTGAGCAGTACAGAACATTTACACATCCTGTGTTCAGATTCAAATGAAATACACTGTTATTGCTAACAACAATAAGCTCCCTGAACAGATAGAAGTGGATGTGCATTGCATTTCCACTATACTCATACTCCTCCTTGACTCCATTATCATCAAACACTAGAATCTTTGATTCTGTCAGCACAAATATCTCATTGAACGGAGACGTCACCAGATCAAGTGCATTTATCTTCAGAATCTCAATATTCATGCAGTTATACACATATACATGATCGCTTGTCAGAATAAACGCCTTTCCATGCCCAACAACGAGTTTCCTGCATATTTTATTCACACTAAATACAAACTCTTCTTTGCCAATGATCTTGAAAACCTGACCATTCGCAGAGTATATCAGTGTGTCTCTATCGATCATCTCAAGAAAAATCTCTCGTTTCGACCTTTTCAGGCAAACAGTGGTTTTTGAACGTGCAAAAACATCCGGAATATGCAGCTTCTTCCTACCAAACTCAAACTTGCCATTGTATTTCGGAGACCCAAGCATACTAACATTCAGTATTCTTGTGCACACATATAAATTGCGATCTTCCTTCATATCTGGAAAATATATCATGGGTAGCCAGAATCGTTCAAATGATATTCATCGCATGCCAAAGCCTAAAAACATCATATACTTTTCATTTGCTTACGCTCGATACAGTTATTCAAATATCACATGTAAAATGCATGTACAAAATATTTCTTTATTTTTATTCGGATCTGCGAAACTTTTCAAATTCATCTCAGCCATTCTATTAGTCATATTTTCGTCTTAAGCCGCATTCGCATACCTTATTCCTACTTCTTCTCTATCATTCTTCATATCCAACGCCGTCTTCCTAACAGCAAAAACCCGATCCTTGGCTAGCAGATCAACTATCCCACTGTCTTTAAACATCCAAGGATGCATTTTACAACAATGTAGCAGCGCCCTTCTATACCGCCAATCCTCATCATAATTACTGCACAATACCTTGACAACTCTTGCTCTGAATTCTTCATCAAAACTCTCAATAATTCCTATCTGTGACAAAAATGTCTTCCTATCACACTTGCATATCTCCAAAATCCTTTCCTTCAGTTTGTCTCGTACAGAACCCTCTGAATCTTCACTATCTTTTATTCCCTCAAAAATCATCGCCTCCTCATCATTTTGATTGCATTCACTGCAGTAAGCTTCTTGATGCACTGCACTGCAATGCCCTCCACCACAAGCACATCCACTACTATTCCTACATTCACACTGCCCATCAGCCATCATCATACAACTCTTACACTTGCTAAGACCGCCATTTATACTGCCACAGCCTTTATACACACTCAAAATCATCTCGACTATCTCCTTCAGATCACTCACAAGATGCCTTCCTACCAAATTGCTTATCCTCTCAATCCGGCTTCCACATATCCCATCAAGCACAAAAAACATCTTTCTATGCCTGAACACCCTTAGAAACCGTGCATACAGCTTGCTAATCTCCAAATAGTCATGCATCGACTCTGTGGATATGGATTCAAATGTCTCAACGCACCATGCAACATACATCTTCATTGTGGTTGAAGAAACGACAAGATCATCGGATCTCAATATCTGCCTCCTCATATCCTTCATCTGGCACACCATCTCTTCCAAAATACTCGCTTCCACTGCCTTCAATCTGAACAGATTCATTGCACACACTCCTCGGTATCCAGAATCAATATATCTCTTAAACATACCAAACAGATCCTTGTCAAATGCAAAACTAAGATACAACGCTGCATTCTCAATAAAAAACTTTGGAGATGTCAGTTCAATCTCCAGCAGATGCTTTTTGGCTTCACATAGACAACGGTACTCCTCGGCTTGATCACAAGCCTTGCACTCACACTCTGCATTCTCAATCGGTATGCCTGTACCATGGCATTTTTTTACTGAGTCATCATCTTTGCGATCATCGGCGATTGCTTGCTTGCAATCATTCAAACATTCTTGTGTATCTTCAACTCTGACATTGACACTGCTATCATCGCAAGAATCCTCTGGAAAAGGTTTTTCATGGCTGATATCCTGCCCAGACGACTGTTTCTCTGCACTCATTGTTTTGCGTCTCTCAAACTCATCCATTGTGTAAAAATCAGTTCCTGCCATTTGGCCTTTATCACTTTCTATTAATTCATCATCACTCACCATATCGCTTTTGGCCCTAGCAACTGTTTTATCGCTAGATATCTTCATTGCCCTTATGCAATCTTCAATTGCACCGTTTTCTTTGCTCTGCCCTTTGCACATCATGCATTTGTACTTTACACTTCTCTCTCTCATTAGCCTGACTTTCAGAAGATGCAGCTCAGCTAGAACATCCCTCTTGCCAGCAAATATATCAAATAGATCGTCAAACTGTGCAACAGTGGTCCTGGTAAACAGAAACGCAACTATATCCACAACCTGTTTAGTAAAAAGTCTTGACAGCGGTAGCACAAGCTTGTATACATAATCAGCACACCATTCAAGTGGCACAACACTTCTTTCTCCAAGGCTCACTCCGCATTTCTCAATCACAAACATAATCTCTTCATCAATCGCATTCTTTCCAAAGCATGCATGCATTACACTTCCAATCTCCTCCAAAATCGCCAGGCCCGTGTTGAAATCAATCTCTTTCTGTTTCTCCAGCATCCCAACCATCTTGCCAAAGTCTGCTTTCGAATGCCTGTACACTTTCTCAATGTTTTTATATGCCCAGACAACATCTTGCATATTACTCATATCAAGCCTATCCACAATTGCCGTTAGCCCTTCACGACACTGCTGCATGCCCTCTCCATTCTCTTTGATTTCCATCCAAAGGGGTCAAAAATCGCTTTGTATTTGCTTTTGCCATTGTGCTGTATTCTTGTATTCTTCTCTTTTCGCCTGCTTGCATCACTCTATCGCATAATATTCTTACATGCACCAGCGTCCACATCGCAGTCTTCACATCCATTCATGCCACATGTCATCTGCTTCATCACTACTTATGATTAATGCAATCAATACTCTGATCGTAATAAAACCTTAATTGATCTTAATCTCCACCATGTGCCGTATCCCCTACTCTCCACACTTCTGATTAATTGCCACACCTCTAAAATAAGCAAAAGAACATCGTGTGGAACAGATTCTCTGCACCACAAACATATAAATACCTAGCGGCACACATCGTCAACTATGGCAAGACTTTCACTGCTTCTGAGCGTCATAGGCTTCAGCTCAACTATTACCGGTGCATACGCATCCAGCTGTGGTAGTTGTGAGCCACTTAGGGGAGGTCTCCTAAAAAGCTTCAAAAATCGCCACTCCGAGTCGTGTTCAAGTGAAATAGATTCGTACAGCAGGTCAGATAGCTACAGTGAGGATTGCAAGAGGAGAAGCAGGAGAAACGAATGCTCGGTATCGTCTACTTGCGACAGCAGCGAAAGTGATTGCTCTGGATCATACTCGTCTTGCATGTCGTCATCCAGCAGCTCGTCATGCGCATCAAACAGCGAGCAATACAAAGGCAAGTGTGCAACTGAGCTCGAGATTCCACTTGAGAAGATGAAGAACACTCTGTTCACATACCTGATAGGATTCGAAAAGCAATACAAGGAAAGTGTGGTCGCGTTCCTGCAAGGACAGATCTCACAGGCATCTGTGATCAGCTCTGCATATGTCAGCACACAGTACAATGCTCTGCTTGCAGCACTTGCAGAACTTGGATTCGTCATTCCTGCAGATACCGTTGTACCGCAGCTCAAGGCATTGGATACTGCTGAGGCAAGTGCTCTTGCAAGAAGCATACAGGAAACTGCAGTGAAGGTCCTGAAGGATCTTTTGTGCAGGGTCAATAAGATGTGCCACTGTGACCTGATGGGACTCATTGATAGCGGCTTGTTTGCAAGCCAAGTTCTGAGCGCATTCTCGAACATGCAGCCTCTGATCAATTCATATGCAGATGAACTGTTTGCAAAGCAGATTGTCGTCTTTGAAAGCCTAGGCATTGAGTTCAGCTCGCAAGCAATTGATGCAATTGTGAGCGGATTGCACCAGAACGGCACGGACTTCATTGCATTCTTCACAGCACAGATCAATGCTCAACAGCTGAATACTCAAGCAGATCTGAGCCAGCTATTCCTGTATCTTGATGCAATGATTGCTACATCATCTGCAGACTTCCAGGCAATTGCACTGTTCGAGATCCAGTCAATCATGAACAAGGTGTTTGGAACAGCAATAGTACTGCCAGCATCCATTTCTCCACCTGCAGAGCCAACGCAGCCTATGGCAACACTGCCAGCACCCATTTCTCCACCTGCACAGCCAACGCAGCCTGTGGCAACAGTGCCAGGAACTGCTTAAGAAAAGCACAGCCAATATGTAGTAAAGCTGTGGTACGATGTTGTAGTAAAGAGCAGATGCTTCATGCAACTGTATAGCCAAGGTATATGATGGCGGTTGTGCAAATATAACTGCTTTTTCAAGGCTGTAAATAAAGCGATTCAAAAACGGTATATGTATGTGTTAACTTGTTAGTTGCTGTCACCCCAATGGAGTTTTCCAGCCTTACGATAGACAATAGCATCAAAAAGGGACTTCGAGAGCATGGATTTGTTGGCATGACGGAGATACAGCAGAAGATCATTCCTGTTGGGCTTGAAGGAAGCGATGTGATTGGATCGTCGCAAACAGGAAGCGGAAAGACACTTGCATTTGTTGTGCCTATGCTGCACCGCCTGAAGGAGCTTCGGTGGAACACACAGGATGGTCTTGGATGCCTAGTTGTGACGCCAACGCGTGAGCTTGCATTACAGATATTTGATGTGCTGAGCAAAGTAGGGAAGCATGCAGGATTCAGCATGGGGCTGATCATGGGGGGAATGGAAGTTGAGAGTGAGCCCGAAAAGGTCTGCGGAGTAAACATTCTTGTGTGCACACCGGGGCGACTGATACAGCATCTGCAGGAAAACACACACATGAGCACCGGCAATGTTCAAATCTTGGTGCTTGACGAGGCAGACAAAATGATCGAGATGGGATTCAGGGAAAGCCTGGTGTCTATTCTTGGGCATCTGCCAAGGAAGAAGCAGGTGATGTTGTTTTCTGCAACACCAAAGGCCTCTGTTGCAAGGATCCTTGAGCTAGACGATCCAAAGATAGTCTGTGTATATAGAGAAGAGGGGTTTCCATCACGATTGCAGCAGTACTTTTACATGATGAGGATCAAAGACAAGGTGAACAATCTCTATGCATTTCTAAAGAAGAATGCAGACATAAAGGCGGTTGTGTTTTTCAGTACATGCAAAGAGGTGAAGTTTCACCACCTGCTGTTTGGAAGGCTTAAGGTACGCAGCAAAATTTTCTGCTTGAGTGGTGGAATGACCCAGAAGCAAAGAATCGAAGTGTTTACAAGATTTGTAAACGAAAAGAACGGATACTTGTTCTGTACGGACCTTGGATCCAGAGGGCTAGACTTTCCAAACGTGGATGCAGTGCTGCAGTATGATTGCCCATGCAACATAGAAACGTATGTTCATCGTGTCGGAAGGACAGCAAGGAACAACAATGAAGGGAAGTCGTACCTGTATCTCGTGCATGGCGAGGAAAGGATTCTTTCAGATATACAGAAGCGAGGGTGGGTTCAGAAGGATAAGGATTCTGAGTCCAAAGGCAAAAGCACAGCAATGCTTGATGACATATCAGAAGGGCCCAGGATGGAAGTGAACCCAATAGATAGGAATGTGCAGGGCATTATAAAGCACAGTGCAGAGATCAGTGAGTATTGCAAGAAGTATCTTGTGACATACGAAAGGTTTATTTCAATGAGCAGCAGGAAGTATTCAGATTGTGTAATACAAAAGATGCCGTCCTTATATAGCTACTTTGGAATTGAAAGAGACGCAAAGCACAAAAGTAGAGAGGAGGATTCTGAATGAGTATTGAAATTTAGTACAATAAATGTTCCCTTAGTTGAATATGCTTTGATCTTGCTACATAGTGTGCTTGCTCTCATTCAGCCTGAGCAATTGGTTGTACTTTGCAACTCGTTCTCCACGGCAAGGTGCACCAGCCTTGATGTACTCTGCACCAACACCAACTGCAAGATCGCTAATGAAGCAATCTTCTGTTTCCCCGCTCCTATGCGACACCATTATTTTCATATTGTGCATGCGTGCCGTCCTTATTGCCTCAATAACTTCGCTCACTGTTCCAATCTGGTTTGGCTTTACTAAAAGCACATTGCACAACTGATTTGCCCCAGCATTATCAACAAGCCGTGGGTTTGTAACTGTCAGATCATCTCCAACTATGTTAATGCCAGCACCAGCATGCTTAGTAAGCCACTTCCATCCCTCATAATCTCCCTCGCTGAAAGGATCCTCAAGACTGTATATCTGTGGATAGCTTGCAAGTATATCAACATACTTCTTCCCTAGCTGTTCTGTGGAATATTCCTTTCCATCAAAAATATATTTTCCATCTCTGTAGAACTCGTTGGCTGCAAAGTCAATAGCAAGCTTCAAGTGCGTTCTTCCACATCTCTCTGATGCTTTTAATATCAAGTCAAGCCCCTCCTCAATGCTTTTTATTGGAGGCGCATAGCCTCCCTCGTCTCCTACAGATACATAAAGGCTTCCATATTGCTCTGCGACAAGCTTCCTCAAGGATTCATAAAGCACACATGCAGATTCAATGTTTCTTTCCAAGTCGTCATACTGATATGCAACCATGATTTCCTGCACGCTCATTCCATTTCCAGAGTGCGCTCCGCCATTCAGAAGATTGAAGTGTGGAACAGGCATTCCCCGGTCAAATACGCCGGCATTTGATATGTACTCATCCACATGCATATCAGAAAATGCAGCACACATTTTGCAGAACGCCATAGACAATGCAATCATTGTATTTCCACCAATATTGGACTTGTTTAGACTACTATCAAGACTCTGCAGATAATTGTCTATGCCATTTATGTCAGTGGCATTGCATGAAAGCATCAATAAGCCTTGCTCTATTGCACCAATCTTTTTTATGGCACACTTCACTCCTCTTCCATTGTATTCATCATCTCCATCCAAAATCACCATGGCCTCTTTGGATCCTGTAGATGCACCTGATGGGCAGGATGCCCGGAATGTTCCAATCGATGTTTGAAGATCAACCTCTATTGTTGGGTATCCCCTGCTTGTCAGTATTGACCTTGGCACTATCCTTGTTAGCACGTCCTTGACATTCATGTGTAATTGTTAGGGATAGCAATACAAAATGCTGAATTCAGATCCTCATATAAGTGGATGCAGAGGGACTGTGAAGAACACATGAAGTATTTGTATGCAGTTGCTGTGGAGGCAATCGGCCTTGAGAACGTGCACCGGAGAAAGATAAAGAAGATGAGGACAATGTCGAACAAGTATCAGATCCGGCTTGCAAAGCAAATAAAAAGAACAATGTGCATGAAATGCAACACTGTTATGATTCCAGGAGTCAACAGTATCTCCAGAATAATCAGGCGGGAGAATGGGTTGTGCCTTGCAACAAAATGCAAATGTGGAGTGGAAAAGGCTATTGTAATGAGAGGAAGATAGAGATCAGCTCCGAAACGTCCTCATGATGTTTCACGGCTTGAATATAAACAGAATGTGGATGGCAAGCATGAAAAGCATGGACTTGCTGATTGAGAAAATCAATGAATTGCAGGATATATGCATGGAAAACAACATAGCAAGCAAGATGGATCTTCCGCAGATAGTGGTGATCGGAAGCCAGAGTTCTGGAAAAAGCAGTGTGCTAGAGAATATTGTTGGAAGGGACATTCTTCCAAGAGGAACCGGAATAGTTACAAGAAGGCCATTGGTTCTGCAGCTCATCCACAGCAGTACAGAGGATTATGCTGTTTTCAACCATGCACCAGATACAAGGTACACTGATTTTGAGGAAGTTAGAAAAGAGATAGTGAATGAAACCAGCAGGATCCTCAAGTCGAAGAACGATGTGTCACCACTACCCATTACGTTGAAGTATTACTCTTCAAAGGTGTTGACATTGACATTGGTTGATCTCCCAGGCCTGGTGAGAGTGCCCACCAATGATCAGCCAAAGGACATATGCGCGAAGATATCTGAGATATGCAAGAAGTATGTGTTGAACAAGAATGCGTTGATACTTGCGGTGTCATCTGCAAACACGGACATATCGAATTCTGATGCTCTTCAGCTTGCTAGGGAGGTTGATCATGGGTATGAAAGGACAATTGGTGTTCTTACGAAAATCGATCTGATGGATAATGGTACCGATGTTGTTGATGTGTTGGCAGGCCGTGTGATATGTCTTAGGCTGGGGTTTGTGCCTGTGGTGAACAGAAGCCAGCTGGATATAGAAAGAAGCAAGGGCATTCAGCAGTCTCTAGATGATGAGGAGGCGTTTTTTGCAACGCATGAATCATACAGGAGAAACAAGGCATACTGTGGAACACGGTATCTGATATCAAAGCTGCACAACATTCTTCACGAGCATATAAGACAATGTCTTCCTGAGCTTCAAGAAAAGATATCCAATGGAATTGTTCAGGCACAGGCAGGCCTTCGGGATCTTGGAAATGTGTCGCTGAGTCCGAAGGAGAATGTAATGAGGATAATCAATAGCATTTCAAGGCGGTTCAGTGACATTCTTTGCGGGAATCTTGAGTCGAAGGGAAACGAGCTGATGGGAGGAGCAAGGCTCAGCTATGCATTCAATCACCACTTTGCAAGGTTCATAAGTAAGCTGAATGCATTTGACAATATTCAAGACGACCAGGTGAGGGCGCTGCTGTACAACTCAAGCGGATCGTCATCTGTTGTACTGTTTGGCCATGGGGCGTTTGAGAAGCTTGCGAAACAGTCTGTTGAATCTTTCAGAATGCACAGCCTGAAACTTGTGAGCATTGTGTTTTCTGAGCTTGTGAGGATGGTCAAGCATATTGTGAATGTGTCCATAATGGCAAGGTATCCGGTTCTTGGAGAGAAGATAATTAACAGTGCTGTTGCAATGCTGAAGGAGCGGAGCGACACAACACATCGCCTTGTAGAGGCATTTGTTGACTGGAATACTGCATACATCAGCACGAAGCATCCTGACTTCATCAAATGGAGTGAAATGCTGCCAAAGGAATATGAAGGTGCCGTGGATGGCAGAAAAGCAGAGAAGATTGACTTTTACAAGGGAACGGATAGCAAGGCGGTTCTTGATTCAATTCCAAATGTGCTTAGGATTAGGGATGGACTGAGTGGGCAGGAAGCAATGGAGATGAACATTATTAAATCAATGGTAGACTCGTACTTCGAGATTATCAAGAAGACTGTTATTGACCAGGTTCCGAAAGCAATCATGTGTGAGCTTGTGAGGAAGTCGGAAAGCCAAATGCAAGAGGTGCTCTTCATGGACATATACAGCAGAGAAGACCTAGAAGAAATAGCATCTGAGTCTGAAGGAATCAAGGCAGAAAGAGCCGGGGTTGAGATGACACTTAGGGCTCTTAAGCAGGCATATGATATAATATGCTCATTATAAAGCACAGCAATTTAATAATGCAGCCCAAGCTAAGATATTATGTCTTTGGCACATCAATTTATTTTTATTTTAAATGTCTCTTTGGATAACATGCATGTCTCTTTTGTAATATTCTGGATAGTTCTGAAGATTGTGCACGACATCATGGAATGGAATTGATATTGCCGAAGAAGCAATTCCTTTGTGAATAATGTTGATGTTTATGACATGCAAATGCAGCCTGAAATATGTTGGCCTGTAATGAAAAAACAGGAACACATCTGCTTCGCCAAGACCAAAGCATGTTGCTAGTGTGTCTAGTACATTTCTGTATGCTCTTATCAGAATATCTGGGCTATCCAAATCTCTTATTGTTCTAAGATGTTCATTCTTGAATATTGCTAAAATGTGTAATGATGCTCTTGATTCCATGCTCCATTTGTAGTCTGGAACTATCATTATTTCATTGTCATCATAAAGTACTTTTTCATTCAAATTTTCCCCACTCTTATTAACGAGATTTGCCATCCAATTTGAGCTGATGTGCAGGTTGTTTTCAACGTAATGAAGGTATTCGTTGTATGATTCAACGATATGCTTGTTGGCAGAGCGATACTTCTTGAAATGCTCCTCAGTAGCAGGATATATCACTCTGAAATTGATTTCCATTGGCATCGAAACTTTATATGAATAGTAGATATCGTTTGACTGTGTTATTTGCTTAGGAAGCTGCAGCATCTGATGAAACAACTCAGTGGAGACATTCTGGTTTGGTAATACAATTATGGCTTTATGCGCATCGATCTTTCCAATGTATATGTTTTCTTCAAGCTTTGAGATCCTTTCTTCAAGAACAAATTTATGCATTATCTTATCCATGGGCAGGTATTTTGTGAGTGTTATGTGTTATGTGCCATGCAGATGGAATACTAGCAATTATGCATGCCTGTGCTAGTATTTGTTATGCACAAATGTCTTTGTTTGTAATTGCCAGCGAACCAATGGTTTGTTATTTCTCCTTTTAATCCATCAGTGATTTTGCTGAATCAAAGAATAAAAATAAAAACTCATCCCTATGCATTATCATGACGATCAGGCTTACTATCAGATACCGGGCAAATGCAATTAAAGCAAATGTGATGGGAACAGACACGTTGGAGATGCTGAAAATTCAAATACAGGAGATGACAGGGGTTTCTGTTGAATGCCAGGTACTCTTGTTCAATGACAGGGTTCTTAATGACAATAACAAGGAGCTCAAGGAGCTGGGGGTGAATACGGACTGTGTTCTTTATCTGAAGAAGAGGATGGAGATGCAAGGCGGAGGTAAGAAGGAGGACTTCAGCACATCGATGATGAAGAACCCACTTGTAAAGAACTTCATGAAGAACCCTGATGCAATGAAAAGCATAATTGAGATGTTTCCTGGGCTCAAGGATGAAATTGATAGCAATCCAGAAATCCGAATGATGATGAACAGCTCCAGCCTACAGGAAGAACTAGAAATGCTTTCCATGAACCCCGAGTACATGAACACACAACTGAAGAACCTCGATATAACAATGTCGAAGCTTGAGAACATTCCTGGGGGAATTAACATGATCAGTAGTATGATTAAGGATGTGCAGGATCCGTTATCTGCATCTCTCAAGGATGGGATCATTGGAGGATGTAAGGTTAGAGAAGGACGAAAGATCGACAGACCCATTCACGAGGCAATTCCTGGAGGAGGCGGTATGAAGGAAGAGAGTCAGCTTGTAAAATATAGAGAAAAGCTTGCAGAGCTCAAGCAAATGGGATTCCGAGATACAAGAAAGAATCTGGATGCCCTTATTGCATGTAATGGAGACCTAGAAGGAACTATAATGCATCTGGGCAGGGAAGATGGCAAAGCATCATGAGATACAAACACAGATACATGCTTTATTATTAACCAGAAACAGAATTTCACATGAAGTATTAAGAAAGCATTACTGTTTTGTAGCGAAAGGTGTAATCAATCAAATTAGCCCTCGCATCCAACATATTTGGAGTTCATGAGATCAATAAATCTACATACACTGAAAGAACATATTCCTGCTATGTCACATATTGTATTTCCATTCTTCCTCAACTTAAGGAGATCATCGAACCTAAACGAAACCGGATGGGAAACCAGTATGTTCTGGACATACACTTCAACGCTCAGAAGCAGTGGAGAATCAGAAAGAAACAGAAGGAATATCTCAGACACGTCCAAACACTCATACATTTGCACCAGCACACCCATGCTCATCAACCTTTCTGCACTGTACTTGTATGTTCCATACTTCGAATCCCTTACCATTTCGTCCGTTGAATTGCTAAATGCAAAAAACGGCCTCTTCTTAATGGCAAGCTTTGTTACAAACGATTCCAGGTAGTTCTGATACAGCTCAATCTTGTTCGAAAGATAATCATCTCTGTAGCACAGGTTGTCGTAGCTAAGCTCGTTTATCCTCAGCTCCTTGCTACGCTCGTCAGACATAAACCTCAGAACAACGATGTCCTGTGCTAGCATAAACAGCATCTCAGAATACAAATTATGCCTTGCTGTGATCCTTCTGTTTTCCAAAAAGTTCAGGTCATCAATTATAGATTCCTTTAAATGCTCAACTGTCTCATATTGCACAAGTGGATACACACCCATGGGCTCTCCATCATTCTTTACAGCCCTTTCATTCCTGCGGAGTTCCGTATATGCATTTTGCTCCTCCTCGTCAGACTCCTTCACAAGCATCTCAACTAGGTTCCTTCCCTTGCACACCGATATTGCATATATCAGCTTCTTCTTCAACCCTCTTATGAAGTTATCCAGCGCCATCTTCTCAGAGTCTTGCGAGCACAACCATTCCGGCCCAAAAATCATAAACGAGAGCGTCTTGTTCTTGTCGTCAGGAAACAAGGGCAAAGCATCCAGAACCTCACACATCTCGGTATCAAGCAGATTTGTGTTGCTCATGAGAAGCGTGGTCAATTGATTTGCAGTGCTGCTCGGCAGATACACTGTTGCTTTCTTGACTCTCCCTATATCGTTCATCGACTCAAATTGGAAGTAGTTGTCAAGGCTACTTACATTGACAAGTCTCCTCAGGATTTCTCCATATCTCTCACGGCAATTCTTGAAGAACGGATACAAAGGAGAATAGAACCTCAGCTCAAAGCTCCTTTTCTCATTCTCTACATTCCCCACACATATGCCGATCTCTTCATCTTTTATTCCCTCATCTCCATAATCAGACTCCTCAAACACAGTAACCCCATCTGTCACATATCCAAGAACTTTCGAGACAATAAAGCACTTGTTCCTCAATGCCTTGCTGACCACAAACGATTCAATAAATGCATCGGGCGCCAAAATAAACGGCATCACAAACTCAGAATAGAACGTCCCAGATCCATACAGCTTGAAGAAGTACCTTAGAATGTACGATACAGATTCAACATTCGACTCAAGAAAGTCAAGAACAGACGTAACCACGCCACGTATCACCATCAGTCTTGTCTGAACAGTCTCTCTCACCCTTTCGTTCTCCAATGCCTTATCCACCAACACATCTTGGTTAAACAGGGCTCTGTATATAAGCATCGGATTCGCATCCAGCTCGATATTCTCGAGATTCCTTACAATGCTAAGAATTCCGTCTCGCATTGCAAAGCTGCCATTCGCAACCCTGAAGTAATTCACCATCAGTTTATGGCATGCAGAGCTTGCGGGCAATCCGTGCTGGATCGGGAGCTCAACATCCTTAAACACCTCAAGCGAAAAAAACGTGCTAGAGTACATTCCAAGCGACATGTCTATAAACACAAGCTTGCTGATGTCAAGCCCCTCATTCAGAAGCTCCTTGCGGAATGTCTCCAGCACTAGGCTTACAAACATATACTCCTCCCTCTTCGAACACACATTCGAAAATATCGGAATCACTATCGACACCACAAACGCATCCAGATCAGAAACATGCATAAGCAGTCCAGAAAGATACTTCGGGTTGTTCCTCAACAGCATCAGCACCTTCTCAAACACCTTAGTATCGGCATCGTCACTCATTGGGCTCTTGACTATAATATTCCCCACCTCCATCCTGTTTTGTATCATCAGCCTCATCCTCATCTCAATGTCCTTGATCTGTGCCTCCTTCTCATAAATGCTGTCAAACACCTTCGATATCTTGTAGTGCAGATTCTCAATCTGGTTCTCCTTCACCATCTCAGACGAGTTACTGAAAAACAGAAACACAAACCTCCTTATCGAAAACAGAGACGCATCCTTCCTATAGTATATGTCATCAAAACACTTCTTGTACAGAAACGTTTTCAGCGTCAACTTTAGAATGTCAACAGACTCTCCGCACATGCTCATATCCTCAGAAAAAAAACTACACTCGTTCTCTCCAATTGTTCCATCACACTTCTCCTCATCGCTCTCAGCTGCCGTCTCACTGCCTTCTTGCTCCATCATCTCCTCCCTCTTCAGATTCTCCCACAGCCTTTTTCCAATCTCATCAAACTTCGGCATCAGCATGTTCTCAACCTGAACATCAGCCCTTGCCATGTCATCCTCAGAAAACACCTTTCCTTTTGCACTTCTTATGCTTCTCGATATCCCCTTCGAGCTCAAAAAATGTGCAAGCGCATGGATGCAATATATCACCTTTGCAAAATTCTTTCCTTCATACAAATCAATCACCTCAAAATGAAAGTGTCTGGGCAACCCCATCTGTACTATTCCATCCAGAAAATAATTGATGTTGTCTGTATGTCTGTACTGAAGAACACTTCCATTAAACACACTCTTCACACATCTCGGAGCAAATGCTCTGCATACTTCTGCCAATACCATTCCTCGCTTCATCTCGTCTTCAAATTCCTCAAATGCCTCAGGCACATTTGCAAATTCCCCTATCCATGTCTTTGCCTCCTCCAACCTGCACAGATACTCGTACGCCTTTGTGTTCCTTCTCTCGGCATCCATCTCTTCTGAGGTTACATGAGCATCCGTCCCAAGCCTCTGATGCACATTGATGCTGTTTCGCTTAAGCTCCTCCTTTCTATTTTCCATGGGTGAAAAAAACCTGTGACATTTATGCAGGCACACCTCCAATCCATCATGTACGCCATTCATTGCTTTCAATTCCATTCATCAATGCCCTTGGCATGCAGGAGTTACTTAAAGGTTTGATTAGCTCAATATTCAAGGGTGGAAGAGTGCAGCCTTCGCCTCTTCTTATTGAGAGTGTGCTGAAGCACACACGTATATCCAGTAGTGCCGTGGACGAAACAGACCTGGAAAGACTCGTCAAGGCAAGGTCATACAATGCATATCTCATGTACCGAAGAATGTTCAAAACCGATGCTGACAAAATAATGTTCTACATAATCGTAAGGATGTCAAACTCGCAGTCTTCAATTGCCGATGAGCTGAACAGAAACCTCAAGAAAGGCGCATTAGGATTCGAAACATCGTACTTTACAGATCATGGAATTGGGTATATTAGGGACAAAATAGACCTGCACACATGCACAATTGTTTTCCAAGTATATCAGAATGCATGCATTTACAAAAAGCTCAAGTGTTTGCAATCTTTCCACTCAAAGGCACATTCGCAATTCTACAGAGTTGTCAGGGAGGAACTTGAAATATATGAATGTGCTGTAATGGCACAGGAAGACGAGCTATTGGAGTTCTATTCAGGAATGTATTCTGCGTATATAAAGCTGCAGATTATTCACCAACTCAACGAATGCTTTGCCGATTATCCGAAGATGCCATTTGAGTTTCTGAAGCCTGATCTGTATTCAGGCCGCACATTCTACAGAAAGGTGCTTGAATCGAGCTTTTTACACATCAACAGGTGTTTGAACTCTTTTGTGTCTCGAGGAGAGTTCAGTGACGATACAAACGAGTTTTTTATTTGTAAAAACGTGTCTACGAATCCATGGGATGAGTTTACGGTTGATTTTGGCCTTGTTCCCAGATTTGTTTGCAATAAGGTGATTGAGAAGATACTGTATATAGGTAAGTGTGCATTGCTTGTTAGAAAGTACAATCCTGGTGGTGTGGATGGGACGCATGTGCTTGAGATCGATGGCTACGCAGAAAGCAAAGGAAAATGCATACTTGGAGTTGAAGATGCATATGAAGACTGGCGCAGGCATGCCTGTCTCGACATCCTCAGCCATAATCTAGCCGATGATGTTGATTTGGCCCTTGCTATAGCCAATAAGCAGGTGGAAGAAAGGTTTTTGAAAGACATGAGGATCTGGAAGCATATAGACGGCGCAAGAAACAGTTTTCTCTTTGGACGAGGCGACTTTATAGAAACGCTTTTTATGTATCTAAAAGATAGCAGAAACCTCAGCAGCAAGAGTTTCAGTTATGTTCTTGACATGGCTGTCAGAAACACATATGGACAGGTGGATGAGTTTGCATCTAGCCTGGGCGTGTACATTGTCGATGAAAAAAACAGATACGAGAATTTTGCGCTGTTTAGCCATGTTGAGTATCCTGCAAACATGGTCATCACGAACGAATGCATATTGAAGCTTGTAATGGTGTTTCAGTTTCTTTGGAAGCTGAAGCTTGTTGAGCATCTTGTTCTGAAATTCTCAGGGATGGAGCTAGAAAAGCCTACAAGGATAAGAATTGCACTGTATACGAGCTTAGTGTACAAGATAAGCTATTTTGTGTTTGAGGAGGTTATTTCGCTCAGATGGAGATTTTCGCTGGCTGGTGGAGAGATGCCTTTGAATGACTTGAGGAAGGGCGTGGAAAGATCGCTTGATGCCATTATATGCCAAAGCCAGATTGGAGGAGGAATGGAAAAGGCTCTTGATGCACTGAGGGATTGCCTGATGGATGCAGGCACGAGGATGTCTGTATTTGACGATGCAAAGATACAAAAAGTGCTTTTTGAAATGGTTGAGAAGTCAGGAAGTATGCTGATTGGAACATCGCTGTCTGATCTTAGGAAGTATGTGATTGTGTAGCTGATGAAATTTAGAAATGACGGATACACTCATTGGAGTAGTGTGTCTCTGGCGCATGCTACAAGACGGCATTATGCTTCAGCTTGATTTATTAAAGCTCTGCAGGCTCCTTGCTTTTGAGTTCATCTGGCTTAATTGTCACACCCTCACCCTTAGGCAGTGGCTTAATTCCTGAATTGACTATTCTGACATCATGTCTTGGCCTGTTTGTGTGTCTGTTAATGGAGACCAACTGCTCGATTTCTCTCAGAACATCGATGCCATCTTGCCCAATAAGCCTGCCAAATGCAGTGTGCTTTCCATCAAGATGCCTCTGCGGTCCAAAAGTAATGAAAAACTGGGATCCGTTTGTATTTGGGCCTCTATTTGCCATTGAAAGGATGCCTGCTTTATTGTGCATGATTTTTGACTTCTCGTCCTCGAATGGCTGCCCGCTATATATTGAGACAGAGCCAGTTCCGTCATTGTTGAGAATGTCACCTCCCTGCATCATGAATCCAGGGATTATTCTGTGGAAGATGCTGTTTTCGTAATGCAGAGAGAGATTGCCGAGTTTTTCATCGCCTTCTGCAAACTTGTAGAAGTTGTATGCAGCGATGGGCGTGTTTTCCCAGTCAAGATCAAACAGCATCTGCCTCTTCCGAAGCTCTTCGTCTCCGTTCTCATCAACGATTGTGTACTCCAGGTTGAAGTAGGGCATTCCTCGTTGCAATGATGAAGATGCGGAGATGACGGAGAGCATTGTTGCGGTCAAAACAATTATTATGTGCATGATGGGCTGGAACCTGGATATGGCATAAATGAAACAAGGATATAATTTTTTGTTTGTTGACACCCAAATGGCAGAGCTCTTGGGCTATGAGAAGTTAGTTGTGCTGAATGAGACAAGTGTGGATTCTGCAAAGACGATGCTGGTTTTGTGTAGCAAGGGAAAAGACGGTGTTAAGATACACATGGACAGTGTTGATGCCAAGCACATGGAATTCCTGAATGGAGTAGGAGCCAAGGGAACAGCAGGGGAAACATATGTGTATCTTGGAGACGACAAGAAGATGGTGGTGTTTGTAGGGCTCGGATCGATTGAAGAAGCAGAGAATGAGCTTGAGCTGAAGAATGTGTCGAGAAAGGCAGGAGCGCTTGCATACAAGGCTGTTTCTCATCTGAATGATGTAGAGATTGCATTGAGCTCTGAGATGATGTGTAAGGAGGTTGTGTCTGGAATAGTTCTTGCATCGTATAAATATGACTTTTTGGACTCTGAAGAAAAGAAAGGCAAGAAAGTGGCAATCAGCTGCAAGTGTCCGGAGATTTCGAAGGCAATAACAATTGCGAATGCACAGAATTTTGCGAGGTTTCTAGGAGACACGCCGGCGAATCTTATGAATCCAACGCTGTTTGTTGAATATGCAAGCAAGTATCTGGGCCAAAAGAAGAATGTGAAGATGGAGGTGTATGACCAGAAGTTCATGAAGGAGAGCGGAATGAATCTACTATTGAGTGTGGCACAGGGATCGGTGCAAGAGCCGAAGTTTGTGGTTGCAAAGTATCGTGGACGAGGAGGAGAGTCAGTGGATGTGTCGTTGGTAGGAAAGGGAGTGTGCTTTGATTCAGGAGGGATTTCATTGAAGCCGTCTGCAAAGATGAACCGAATGAAAGGAGACATGCTGGGGGCAGCATCGGTGCTGAGTGTGATTGGGCTTGCATCTGATCTTGGAGTGAAGATGAATGTTGATATTGCAATACCTCTTGTGGAGAACATGCCAAGTGGAACAGCCACCAAACCTGGGGATGTGTATGTTGGGATGAACGGAAAGAGCGTTGAGATTGACAACACTGATGCAGAAGGGAGGCTTATTTTGGCAGATGCACTTGTGTATGCACAGAAGGCGAATCCATCGTATATATTTGATGTTGCAACACTGACAGGTGCGATTTGTGTTGCTCTTGGGGATACGTACATGGGGTACTTCACGAAGGATGATGAGCTGTCAAGCATGATATATCAAAGCGGGATTGAGGCAAACGACCCTGCATGGAGGATGCCGCTTTCTAAGTTTTACTTGCCGTTGATGAAGTCGAATGTGGCTGATCTGAAGAATACTGGAGAGTCTAGGGAGGCAGGGTCATCGACAGCAGCGATTTTCCTGAATGAGTTTGTTGACAAGAAGTTTAAGTGGGCACACTTTGATATTGCTGGAGTTTCTGAAAGCAATGGAAACAAGGCAGTGTTTGGAGAAAGCATCACTGGATGTTCTGTCCCCATTCTGATTGAGATTATTGAGAAACTGTCTCAGAAAATCAATTAAATGCTTTGATGGTAAGCCTTGGTAATGTATATTGTATTTTGCACAAGTGTAACTTATGCACTTGAATGAAGTGAAGGCTATATGATGTGTGTTTAATTAGTCTTTCTGGAATGCAATATCAATATGCATAAGAATGGATTTAGGCCTTAAGCCCTCTGATCTTATTCCATTTTTATTGATCTAATGATTTTTTCTATTTCCTTCATTGCATTGTCTATGCATCGTAGCTTATGGTCTTCATTTTTCTGAATAAAGCTATCCATGAGGTAGCAGAAGTTACATCCTGAGAATTTAAGGTTCTGCATGATAAGTTCTATGTAATGCCCTGATTGGCTTGAATCGAGTGATTTGTTGAATATTCTGTGCTCAAATGCATTGAAGCACTCAAGCAGCTGTCTTTCTATCAGCAATGTGATTCCGCTTCTCCTTATGCTCGAAACTGTTTCCAAATCCCGTACAAGTGCATCTTGCTCATCAAAAAACTCCCTGAAGTATGCAAACACATCTGCAATTAACCCATCAAGAGTTTGTATTTGGTTGATCTTCCGTATTCCATCCTTGAACCTGCTTTCAAGAAAGGAATACAAGCATGCCGATGCATCGTCTTTGGACTCAGCAAGTACGGAAAGATATTTCACAATCTCTTGCTTGCTATAAAACATCATCTTCTTAGGACAGCCTTCAGCAAGCTCGCCCGGCCTCAGAAGCTCATACTGCTCTGTAAATGCCAGATATTCGATCATGTCTTTGTCAATGACTGTTCTAATCGTGTCTTCATGCTTCTTTTTATACTTGTATGTTAGTTCCTCAAAAACCCTGAATGTCTTTTCGACACTTTTCATACTGCTGCTGAACTCGTATATTGTAGGATCCACCTTCACTCTAAGTGTACTCCCCCTGATATCCATGCGTACAATTGCATAACTGTATGCATTCAGCAGTTTGTATTTCTTGAGTCCCTGCTGTAGTATACCTATTAGAAGAATGTCGTTCGTAAGAACCAATATGCACTTCTCCCCACACTTTTCCTTGAATGTGCTGAAATGAACAAGGAATCGCTCATCAGTGGCAAACACAACTGCATCCTCACTAAAATTCTCAAGAATAGCCCTGAACTTGCTGACCTGTTCCTTGTCAACAATTGCATCTTCCTCGCATATGCTCAGGCGGGACCTGAGGAGTTGTTTTGACAAGTCAATCATGCTTGAAATGACCATATACGACTCCTCATATGCATCAAGGATATCAAGCAGGGAATTGCTATTAACTAGAAATATCTTCAGTATCTCAGTGTCTATTTCGTGATGAACTTTGGCTGCCTTGTGCTTTTCGGCTTCAAGTATGAACTCTTCGTATCTCTGTATTGTGTTGTTCAAGTATGACTCTAAATCCAATGACTCATACCTTGATATTCTTGAGGCTAGATCATTCATGCAAGGGCTCAAGCACGAGGACCGATTTGTTTAATATCACGCATGCATAGAGTATCCCTTAAATGAGAAAGTTTGATCAGCAGCAGATTGAGCATATTCTTAAGAAAAGATTTTTCATAGCACAGTCAGCACACATATATGGCGGAGTGTCAGGCCTGTATGATTTTGGGCCGCCAGGGCTGTCTTTGAAGGCAAACATGCTGTCTTTGTGGAGAAAGCACTTTGTGGTTGAAGAAGACATGCTAGAGATAGATACAACGGCAATGCTGCCATACAGTGTTCTGAATGCAAGCGGGCATGTGGATAAATTTTGCGACATTCTTGTGTTTGATGAAGAGTCTGGAGAGTGTTTCCGAGCAGACCATCTGATTTCTGCAGTGCTGGAGAAGATGGAGCAAACAGATGAGGTTGCCAATGACATTAGGAGGGTTGATTGTATGACATGTGAAGAGGTAGATGCAACGATTGAGAAGTATAACATCAGAGGAGTATCTGGAAACAAGCTCAGGCAGTCTCAGCAGTTTAATCTTATGTTTGGAACCAAGATAGGATACAAAGGGGACCAATGGGTGTTTTTGAGGCCTGAGACAGCACAGGGGCAGTTTTTGAATTTCAAGAAGCTTTATGAGTACAACAATGAGAGTCTACCATTTGCATCGGCATCCATTGGAAGGGCATATAGAAACGAGATCAGCCCAAGAGGAGGGCTGATAAGGGTGAGGGAGTTTGAACAGGCAGAGATCGAGCATTTTGTGTTTGAGGATGAAAAAAACCATCCGAAGTTTTCGTCTGTTGGAGATCTTGTGTTGAGATTGCTATATGGAGACAAAGATGTAGAGATGGCATTGAAGGATGCAGTAAGGTTAGGGATTGTGTTTAATGAGACTATTGGATACTTCATTGGAAGGACAGCACTGTTTTTGAAAGAGCTGGGGGTGGATATGAGCATGGTTAGGTTCAGGCAGCATAAGAAGGATGAAATGGCACATTATGCAAAGGACTGCTGGGATGCAGAAATATACACATCTCATGGATGGGTTGAGTGTGTTGGAATAGCAGACAGGTCGTGCTATGATCTTAAGTGCCATGAAGAGATGTCGGGGATTAGCTTGAGAAGCAAGCGAAGATTAGCTGAGCCAAGGGAAGTTGACGAATGGGTACTGAAGCTGAATAAAAAAGAGTGGGGGCCTAAGCTTCGAGAGAAGTTTGGAGAGCTTGAGGAGATTGTTTTGTCGGCATCCCAGGAGTTTATTGAGAAGAATTTGGCTTGCTTTGAAGGAAGATCCTATGTTAAGTTTGAGTGCGATGGGCATGATGTTGATGTGGAGTGTTTGAAGAGCAAGAGGATGGTACATGTTGAGAATGTGGTTCCGGACGTGGTGGAGCCTTCGTTTGGGGTTGGGCGCATTTTGTATGCATTGATAGAGCATTCATTCTATTCCAGAGAGGACATGAAGCCGGTATTTAGGTTCAAATCGATGATTGCGCCCATTCAGTGTGCAATTGGATATTTAATTTACTCAGATGAGTATAATGAGCATATTCAAAGAATAAAAAGGTATCTGTCTGAAAAGGGATTTGTGGTGCAAGTCAATGAGCGTTCATGCAGCATTGGGAGAAAGTATGCATCATGCGATGAACTTGGGATTCCGTTTTTCATTACGTTTGATCCTGGATTTGCAAGCGATAGGATGGTAACGATTAGGGAAAGAGATAGCATGAGGCAGGTGAGAGTTCATGTTGATGACTGCCATTTGATTGTCGAAGGATATATTAATGGGAAGTCCAAATGGGATTAAACAATCTTTTTAGATTCTAATCAAGATGAAATAATGTTTTGGATACGGTCCCATTGATAAAGCATGGCGCGAAAGCATAAAATAGCAGCGATTGCATTGTTGCTTATAGTGCTAGTAGTCTGGACATGCATTGCAATACTGATCTCACTGAGATCAGGCAGCAAAGAAATGCATGCAGAAGCGAATTCATGTGTGCATAAAGCAAATCTAGATAGTTGCAAGTATGATGATTTGATACAAAATGCAAAAATAGATGATGCAAATGCAAAACTATTCAGTCTGTATGGAAATAGTGAAGAGAAGTGTAGTATGGAAACGAAAGAAAACCCAAAGTGTATCATGGATCATCAAGATGTGCCTGAAGAAGACTCTGGCTGTGAATTAGAGATACAAGCATCAGAGATGGCTTGGGAAGATCGATTGGTTTCACGAAAAGATCGGCTGATTTCGTTCAACACAAGAAAAGGTGTGTGCTTAGGAGAATTTCTTTTTGTAAAACTGCGAAGTGTTATCAATCAGATTCTTGATGCAAAGCCATCTGAAGAAAGGTGCAAGATGTATGGCATTAGTTATGAGCAAGGAGCTCTTGTTTGCCACTATCTAAAGCATCTACGGCTATTTGTGCAGAAGCCCATGATTGCATACGATGATTCATTGAACTCAATAGGAATATACGATATATATACTACAGCAATCGATTGCTTTACTGGGCATAAGCTCACTCGATATCACAGTAAAAGCAAATTGAATAGTGCAGAAAATGCATACTCTGCATACTTGCGATCTTTTGTGGATGAAAGATTCGACCGAATACTAGGAACATACAAAAGCAATCCAAATACTGTGATAACTCTTAGCAATCACATTATCTATGTATTGCTTGATTACATACACAACTTCTATACAGATGCAAAAAAAACACTCAATCTTCTACAGGCAAAAATAGATATTGAAAAAAGATGTACAAAGGGAGAAGCCCCAGGCGGATTCGAACAATCAAGAAACTATTTATACGAAGACATCCTCGAAACTGTCAGGCCAATTCACTTTGTCAACAACAATGCAGAAATAGTAAAGCCAAGCCTGCTTTCCTGATGTATACTTGATATCAATAAACAATATTTTAAATACTTCAAACATATCTGAGCTTTTAACTGATATCAAATTTATGCGTTGATGAAGATGAATAAAGCTTGCACAAGTCTTCTATGCTCTGTAGGTCCATCAGAGAATTTCTGGCTGTGTGCACGGCGCGAAGAGCATTCAAAGAAACATCTATGATGTGATCATCGCCAGTAATGTGCCAACCTTTCCATCCCATCTCTCTGGCTTTAGCCACATTGCTTTCCGAATCATCAAACAAATGAACATTCTCAGGTGTATCAACACCCAGCACACGTGTGACAAATTCATAAGATACATCTCTTGGTTTACAGCAGAACGTAGTGTCATACTTCCCTATGCATATCACTGCTTCAAAGCAATCAAGCAGGCCCATCTTCGTAAGAATGCTCTCCGCTCTGTCTCTTGGCCCATTCGTAAAGCAGCATCTCCTTACACTGTTCATAGACAACAAAAAACTCCTTAGGCTTGGATCCGGGGAAACATACTGAAGATAGTCAAACTCAGCAAGCAGCACCCAATACTCCTCAAGAGAAATGCCTCCGTATTCATTAAACATGTGCGAGTAAAGATAAGACATCATCATATGCTTCTCAAACATATCATGTGTTGCTCCTTCATTCAAAGAAATATACTTCTGCTTCAGAAACATTCTTTCCTTCTCAAGGAGCCCATTCGATCTATGGTACAGCGTATCATCAATGTCATACAGAAACAGCACTTCATTCCCCATCTTTTTCAATCCAAGCTCAGCCCCAGTAGCTTCTTGTCCCATCTCTATAAACACAGGCCTGTTAAAGCTTCTGGCATTAATCATTTCATAGTTCACAGCTATATCCTGATGTACCATTTCATGATTGACTCTGTCTTCATGCTGCTCAAATTTGCTTTCACAATCCTCATCCTCTCCATAATCACTGAACTCACTGATCCCTCCTTTCCGGCCTCTAACAATAAACTTCGTTCCTTTCTTCAGTTTCTTTACTCCATTTCTAATCACTTTACGTGCCGCATGCGTGATCTTTTCAACCATCCCCATCTATTGGGGTGCCAAAATCATTCCAACTCATATCAACAGCAAAACATACACAAGACATTCATTTATTTGCCTTCAGACTTATTATCCACATCCATAAAGGACCCGCTCTATCACTTAAACCCTGCTTCAGGCACAGCCTTCTCTTCATTGGCAGAAGTTGAGTCAATCGCAGAAAGCTCAGACTCATCCGCATTGCCTGCATTCTCTTCGTCCTTCAGCTGCTCCCCGGCCTCATCATCCATGATCTCACGCTTTGCCTTCTCGTCTTTGCTCATATAACATCTTTTCTGTGCCTTGCCATAGCATTCACTGAAATATCTAGACACAACTGTCTTTACATTCTCAATCGTCTCGTCAAGCTGACTTTCGTGCTTCTCTAAAATCCCTTGTACATAAAACTTGTATACAAACACTGCTCCTGTGCATGCAGGTATTGATATCCAGACAATAACTATTAGCTTAAACAGCTGATAAAACGGAACAATGTTCAAAACAAACGAAAACATATTGTCAATCACAAGAAATACAGAAATCACCATAAAACACTTGCTGTATCTCCTTGAAAGCTTCTTATCATCCTTGGAAGCCTTGAATGCCTGAAGAACATTGTAAAAAACAACAAATGCTACACAGACATTAACTATTTGCCTAATCATCCTTGGGGTTCCGCACATTTGTTTTTAAATACACACAGGCATCATCACATTCCAACAAGCTCCACTTCTTATTTCAGCCTTGCTGCAAACAAACAAATCCACATTGCTAGCAAACTGCACAATCAGCTGGAAAACACTCACATTCTGATTCGCCATATATAAATCATATGTGTTGCTTCATTCCATCAAATTGATAGGTTGGCTTATACTCACACTAAACATATAAGATATTTAATTCAAGTATGCTATGAACAAAAAGAAATTCCAAGAAATCAAGCAACATCTTGAATTACTCCTCACACCAGAGCACTTTAGGAACGAGCTTCCTCACCACAAGAAATGGGCAATCGACTCCTCAAAAGTGCCAGAGGACACAATAAAACGTTCAGAGTCCAATCCAAACAGTATATAAGCCAAGCAAAAAACTCTAAAGTAAAGCTGCATCAGTCACCCAGCTTTTGCTTGTATTCAATCACATCTCCATAAAACCTCTTGATGCTGCTAGATTCGCACACATACACTTCCTTAAACACCGAGCTTACAAAATTCAAGTCATGGCTTACACACACTACACTTCCTTCAAACCTCCTGAGGGCATCGGCCAATGCATCAATCGATTCCATATCCAAGTGATTCGTAGGCTCGTCAAGAATCAACAGGTTAGGTTTCATCCCGTTCACTAGTGCAAATCCAAGACGGCTCTTCTGCCCTCCAGAAAGACTTCCAATCCTTTGGTTCTCAACATTCAGTCCAAACGATGCAAGTGCTTTCTTGCTTTCCTCCAGGGTATAGCTCTTCATCATCAGATCCAATACATTCTCGTTTACGTCAAAATTATCCACGTGATGCTGTGCAAAGTATCCCACTTTCAAATGCGAATTCTTCACCACACTTCCTTCGGCTTCCTCAAGCTTCCCAGCCAATATCTTCAAAAATGTGCTCTTGCCTTGCCCATTACTGCCCACAATCACAATCCGTGAGCCAGAATCAATCTTCATGTTCAATCCAGCAAAGATCGTTTTTTTATCGGGCGATCCTGCCTTGCCATAATGAAAAGAAACATTCGAAAACTCAACAAGCAGTCCCTGACACCATGCAGATGAAAACGAAAATCTTATCACAGGATCCTGCTTAGGCGGTATCAATACCGGCATCTTTGCAAGCGCCTTTATCTTGCTTTGAGCAAGAGATGCTCTTTTTGCATTATATCTGAATCTATCAATAAATGATTGCATGTGCTCTCTGACTGTAAGCTGGTTCTCATATTCTCTCTTCGCAGAAGCCATCTTCTCGCTCCTTTGCTTAACAAAGCTTTCGTAATTTCCTTTATAAACGTCTATCTTCAAATCATTCAGGTGCAGAATCATCTCTGTGGTGTTGTTTAGGAAATTCCTGTCATGCGATACAATGATAACAGTTTTCAGCTCAGATATCTTCTTTTCAAGCCAATTCAACGCCTTGATGTCCAGGTAGTTTGTGGGTTCGTCAAGAAGCAGAAGCCCAGGATTCACGCTTATTGCCTTTGCAAGATGTGCTCTCATCCTCCATCCCCCACTTAGATCCTGCATGTTCTTTACAATCATCTCCTTATTGAATCCAAGCCCATTCAATATTCTTCCTGCATCCACTCCCACAAACTCCTCAACCGTTGCATCGACAAACGAGTCCTGCCTTATCATGTATATCTTGAGTCCTTTTGGAATCCCAAACTTCCTTTTTCTGATTGCCTTCAGAAGAGTCGTTTTTCCTATTCCGTTCCGTCCAACCAGTCCATACTTCCGTCCCTGAATAATGCTGATCGGCGAATCCCTAGCTATCTCCTTGCCTCGGATAGACAGGTCAATCTCAAAACAGACGTCTCCGATAAAGTCCTCCGAATCCGTGCTTTCTCCAGACGATTCGGACGAAAAACAATCCTCGCCGCCACCTACACTCTCCTGCGTCTCCACACTTGCCTTCCTTTCGGTAGACTTCATTGAAAACGGCGTTTCTAATGCAATAGCATCCATTTCATAATCTACAACATACTCTTTCATCCCAAGCTCACCTGCTTCCTCATCAGACTTGAAAGGATACTTCTCCAGTTTCTTCAAATACTTTACCCTAAGAGAGTAAACATTCTCACACATCTCACATGGGCTTGACGCAATCTTTTACATTGCCTCAAACACACATGCATCCTATTCACAAACTTCCAGCATCCACATTTTCATTCAGAGCTTAGCTTCTGCCTCTTTCTCCCCGGCATTCGAAATAATATCTTACCGGCGTTGTTATTGTTCTCTCTTGCCTTCGCAAAACTAACCTTTCAAGAAATCTTGTGCACCTGCCTCCAAACGTGTCTGCCTTCATAACATCTTCAATGTCAATCTGATGCATTTGAGCCTGCTGCCTTACATATGCCTCATTTCCAACAAACGGGCAGCTGCTTGCTTTCAGTTCATTGACTGTGTTTGACATCTTTGCACAGCTGAAACATGTATAATTTGCCCGTTTACCTTCAAGCCCATAATTGTGCCTTATTGAATACAGGTAGTCCTTGCTGAATGTGTCCTTGTCAATGCTGAATGAACTACGGAAAAACTCTACTGAGTCATCAATGCTCATTCCGCAGTCTTTGAGAAAAAGACAGAGAATTTGCCTGTCATTGTACTTCAGATGCTTGTTGCTCTTCAGCTTTGCCATTATGCCTTGGATGCACAGAGGAAAATATCTTTCTGAGGTAGGTAACGAAAATTCAGAAGTATCTTGTTGTTTTGGTGGCGCACTCGCCATTACCTCCGATAGAAGCTTTCCCATTCTCTCATCTGGATCTTTATGGAATATGCCCTCCAGTTCACACATTCTCATCTCCAAATATCTCCTGAACTCATTCACAAGAACAGACTGAATTCCTTGCTCATCGAGCCTGGCATATCCATTCTCAAGTGTAACAGCCCTCTTGCCAACAAGATCAATCACCTTGGTAAAGTGCACAAAAATGTCCTGAGGAGTTTCATCCAGGGCATGCCTTGAATCTGGATCATACATGCTCCTGGCACCTACGAACAAAGCGCCATTAGAAGTATCCAGCCTGCTCATGCAAGGTAGTATATCATTGAAAAAAAACACATTTGCTCCCGGCATGTCGTTTGTAAGTCTTGCACGAAAAAGATTCGTCTCTGCATTCACAAACCACGCGCTTGCCCACTGTGTCTGAGAATACACCATCCTACACAGAAAATGCGAAATCGCATCGTCTGCAATATTCGCACCCGATCGCTGCTTTAATGCACGATCTTCATCAGCATGCTTTAGAAGCAGCGTTCTCTTTTTCACTGCCTTTACCAGTTCCTCATATGATACACATTTACTTTCGAGAGCAGTGTAGAAAGTAAGCCCAACCCCCTCATCTGCTCTTGAACCCTTCAACTTCTTCATCAGGACACACAAAACCCACCGAAAATAACATCAATAATTCAGGGTTTTATTCATCAGATCCAGTATGGAATCTTTGCATAATCATCTATTTCTAACCATCTTAATGAGGCTCATTAGTGTAAGAACAGTCGACATGGCCAGCATTGAATACATGACCTTGTCTTTGAGTTTTCCATGTGTTGCTGGGATCTTTTCCAATTCATTGTTTGTGCTTTCAAGATAGAAATTTATCGAATCAAAATAGAAATCCAGTCTGTCTATTTGCAACGACTGCTGTCCTACTGCCATCCTCATGTTTAGAAGAATAGACGTAAGGTCGTATATTGATTTTCTAAGATCCTTCACTGCTTCGACCATCACCATGTTCTTTTCGTCTAAACTTTCATTCTCTTCATGCTCAAGCTCATCATGTAGATCCATCTTCTTCAAGAACTCCTGCTGTATGCTTCTGTAGTCGTGTATTATTGCCCTCAACTGAGCCGAAAAGTACTCTCCCATGCTTTCAGAAAGACATTTCGAGTTTGTATACCCAGCCAGGCTTTCTATCTTTCTTTCGCTGCATGCTATGCTTTCTGCTATGCTTCTTTTCAGATCATCGATTTCCTTTTGCTTTTTTATTCTGGTTGTAAACGAAGGCAGGCCATGCCTCTCTTGCAAAACTCCAAGTTTCGAAATGCTTTCCCTTGTGTCACTCAAGGACTTTCGCATGCCTGCCATTGAAATTGGCGCAAACTTCAAGCTGTTTATCCTTGCCATTCTTCTATACTCCAGGGTTCTATTGGCAAGCATCACACCTTCTTGTTGCCTTTTCGTGCAACATCTTATTTGTCTTGTGAAACAAGGTTTTAACATCGCAGCCTACAAATACTCCACTGATTGCAGACATCGATGCATGCTAGCTATCCACTCAGCTAATAGGCAAATCTATCCGCATTGCTCGAATTATGCCGTTGCATATTAGTATCCAGAGCATCCCATACACCCACAATTATCACATCTAACAACCTGATCCGCATCGATGCTTCTTTGGGGCACTCTACACACACATACATTCCCACGCTTGCTATCCGTAGGCTGTATGCATCTAACACAGCACAGATTTTCATAGCCCATCTTCTTCCAATAGCAAGCTAGGCCATGATCAACAAACATGTTTTCCGAAAGATATCTGTACAAATCCTTGCTTATCTCTCCTTTGGCATTAAGATTGTAGATGTGTCTGGTTCGCTGATGATGTAGCTGGAAGATTGGCCAGAAGTTTTCTTGGGTTCTAGGCGCTGGCGGTGCGTTCTCAAGCCTTCTCATTTCTGCTTCAACTTTTTCTAGAAAGCCTCGTACCTTTTCAAACTCTGCTGGAGGATTGATTGGAATCCTTGGCATTTGCTGGGGTTGCATTGCACAGCCTCCCTGATGAAATAAGCAGATGATGCTGTATATGATTCCAGTACACATCTACATGTTTCAAAGTGTTTTGATAAATAACGGCATGCAATGCAAAACAATGAGGAATGTGCTGGGATTTGCTGCTATACTATTCGTGTCATGTATGGCGTCGACACAAGAAATGAATAGCTTTGAAAACCCGGACTTTGGCATTCTTGAGGTATATTCTAACGGAGCATGCAATACGGAGGTTCCAATGTGCTCGAGATTGGGAGTCAAAGTGCTTATGCAGGGCGGGAATGCAGTCGATTCTGCTGTTGCATCTGCCATATGTGTTGGGATAGTAAACTCGTTTTCTTCAGGAATCGGAGGTGGAGGATTTATGCTTATAAAGAAGCCGGGCGAGGAAGGCGCTGTAGACATGATAGACTTCAGAGAAGTTGCGCCAAAGAGGCTCAGCACCAAAGTGCTCTATGAAGCACGGAATGGACCAAAGGTAGGTGGCTTGAGTGTGGGTGTTCCAAGTGAAGTGCATGGGATTTATGAGGCACACATGAAGTATGGAAAGCTTCCATGGAAGAATCTGTTCCAAGAAAACATACAAATAGCAAAGGGCTTTCCTGCAAGCAGCCAGCTGGTAAAAAGAATCAACAAATTTAAAGAGTTTATAGCAATCGATCCGGGATTAAGAAGCACATACATGCGCAACAATGAGCTTCTCAAGGAAGGAGATGTTGTAGTACGCGAAAACTACGCAAAAACTTTGGAGATGATCATGAACAACCCAGATGACTTCTATAATGGAAGCCTTGCCGACTCAATTGTGAAGGCTGTTAACAATCAGGGTGGGGTGCTTGCAAAGAGCGACTTGCAGGAGTATAAGTCCATACACAGGCCCGTGGTTGAAGGAAGATACCACGACTACAAGGTATACACAACAAATCTTCCCACAAGCGGGCCATTGGTTTTGAAAGCATTGAACATACTTGAGAAGTACAATCTCAATAGCTTGGTTGCAGATGACATACAGACGGGAAAGTTCAGAAATCTGCATCTGCTTATTGAGATATTCAAGTTCATGATGGCCAGACGAGGAGAGCTTGCAGACCCTGAATTTCTTGAGAACTGGAAGGATATGGTGAATGAAATAACATCGAAGGAGATAGCAGAGCAGATATATAAGAAAATAGACCTTGATAAAGTGCTAGATGCTAAAGAGTACGGAATGAAGAAGCACGGAGTCGAGGACCATGGAACCACACATATGAATGTAGTGGACAAGGATGACATGGCGGTTCTGCTGACAAGCTCAATAAACTTTGAGTTTGGCGCAAAGTTCATGGATCCAGAAACAGGAATTGTATTTAACAACACAATGGACGACTTTCAGGCTCCTGAGCACAACGATGCCAATGCAGGATCTGCAAATGCACTCGATGCAGGAAAAAGGCCGTTTTCATCAATGTCACCGGTTATTTTGTCGAAAAGCGATGAGCTGCTTGTGCTGGGAGCGGCTGGCGGAATACGAATACCCACGTCTATTGTATCGACCCTGTTCCATCTATCTACTGGAAAGAACCTGAAGGAAGCAATAATGACGACACGAATGCACAACCATCTATTTCCAGATGTTACTTTTGTAGAGCACGACATTGCAGGGCCGGTTGAGCAATATCTTGTTGATTCAGGCCATGTAATAGAAAAATCGCTCGAGAACACCGTATTTACATCTGTACAGGGTATTCTTCTCAAAAGAAGCAATGGGAATAGAACGATCCACGCAGTGTCTGATCTTAGGAAGGGGGGAGAGTCTTTTGGATACTAGAGTTTTAGGCTGTCTACGGAATATCGTGTGTATTTAAATGCCAGCTGAGGCAAGGCTTTTGCTTGTGCGCCGAATACAAGAACGACTATTCATTGGAAGTGATTCTGCATAGTACGATGCAACATCTTAGGACTGCAGGTTTTTAATTGGATTGTGCGTTTGAGCTTGAGATGTATTTGACAGTGCATGGTTGTATTGCTTGGCAGTCAGAAGGTGGGATGGCCTGCAGCATGATAGAATATTGCTGAGAGATATGATATATGATATGCAATTGCATTGAGCTGCATAAAAAAGGAAAAAAAGTTGGTCCCATGGAAGCCTTCAAGGAGAAGTTTGGGGCTATTGAGGCAATGAGAAACGAAAACAGGTTTTCTGCAAAGAATTACGCTGGATATAAGAATTATTTGAAAGTGAAGCTGAGGGATGCAGGCAACAGGAGGATGGGCGTGTATAAACTTGAGTCGAATGTATGCAAGTCGTTGATGCTTAGGTCTGTGAAGTTTCTGAAGAGCAATTTACGTATATTGAGGAAAGATACATCTGAGTTTGGGGAGATGTACAGAAATCTTATGAATGGAATGATAGGAGCTGGAGATGTTGATGCGGGTGTTTTTATGGATCTACGAGAAAGGCTGGTGGAGTTCAAAAGTTTTTTGGATCAGATAGATGGAATACTTGAGCATGCACCTTACAATGTCGATACGTCAGTGCTAAAGGTGAAGGAGATGTGGCATGATATTGAGCTTAGGTTTGATACAGATGCAGAAAGAAGGGCGTTTCAGGCAGGAGCGGTTTTTGAGAGTAGAGGATATGATGCAGAGGTGGCAAGAAGAGTGAACAAGGTGGAGGAAGCGAAAAGAAAGTTATTTTTGTTGATTGAGAAGAGGCCTACAAAGGTTCTGTGCATTGGAAAGAAAGTGAAGGTGCTGCAAGAGGCGTTTGAGGATCTAAAGATGTTTTTGAGGGAGAACTTGGTTGACTCGAAGTATATTGATGAAGCACTTGAGGACACGAAGAGTTTGTGGACATACTATGCAAGGATTGAAGAGCTGATAGTGTTTTTGAAGAATGATGAGATGATTGATGCATTTGTTGTTCCGACGATGTTTAAAAGCTTGGAACGGCAGATTGTACAGGCAAGAGAAGACTTTTCCAATGTTCCCAAGAAGTATTTGAAGGCGGGATTGATGAAGCAATTGGAGGAGTCTCTGAAGCCCAAAGATCCAGCTATAAAGGTGCCTTTTGCTCCTGTGATATTTGACATTGCGCGGGATTACATTAGCTATCCGCCTGATGATAAAAAGCTTTCTGAGCTGTTTAAACAGCTTTCGATGTCAAAATGATTAAACTATCTTTGAGATTGATATTCTGATGATAAAAAGCAAAAGCCTTGATGGAGAAAGAGCACATACTGAAGAGATTGAAAAGCAAAATCATTGAAAAGATCAACATGAGAGCAGTGGAGAAGGAGCTACACGAGGATACAAAGACAAGTAAGAGTGTGAATGAAGAACATGCGATTGAAGCAGATCGAAGGAAAAGCCTACTGAAGATTGCATCGAGTGTCGAGATTATACCGTTGGATGCATGGCCGAATGGATTTGATATGTCGATACTACCTACGAATCCTACAGACATCCAGAAGATTGTTATTCCATATATTTTTGCCAAACAGAGCTTCAATGCAACCTCGGAGACAGGTAGCGGAAAGACTTTATCTTATGTTTTGCCGTATGTGAAGATTCTGCAGGAAGAGTTTTCTCGGCTGCTTGTGATTGTTCCGACAAGAGAGCTTGTTGGACAGGTTTCCAAACTATTTGCAAAGTTTTCACTGGACTCTCTCAGGATCGTTGAGGTGACGGGAGGATCTAGCGTAGATATTCAGAGGCTTAAGCTTTCTGATGGGTTTTCGGTAGTTGTTGGAACACCTGGAAGGCTACGAGAGTTGATGGAGGCGAGATGCTTTGGGAAGATTGACTATTTGGTTATTGATGAAGTTGATAAGGTGATGTCGTATGGGCTGAAGGAAGATGCAGAGTATGTTTTGAATGTGGCTGAGGTAAGAATAGTAGGGTTGTTTTCTGCAACGCCTTTTGAGTATCCTGGAATAGCAAGGATTGTTATTGGGGATGCTTCTGTAAGTAGCAATGTATGCGAATTTTTTGAGTATGTGAAGAGGAGCGAAAGGCTCAAGGTTCTCAGGCAAATATTATCTGGGGATCATTTGGTGGATACAGGGAAGAAAGGGGCCGACAGTGGAAGGCAGGGAATGAAGGTGATTGTATTTTGCAATACGATCCGAATGTGTGACTATCTCAACCGAAGGATTAATGAATCTGTGGTGCTGCATTCGAAGAAGAGCATGGATGAAAGAAGAAATGCAGTGAAGAGGATGGATAGTGCACCAGGGGTTCTTATAGCCACAGACTTGGGAGCAAGGGGTGTTGATATCAAGGACATTGATCTTGTAGTGAACTATGAGTTTCCTAGTACGATTGAGACGTATATACACAGATGCGGTAGAGCAGGAAGGCAAAGGATGGGGATGTCGCTGTCTATGATTGATGAAGAGGACAAGATGATGTTTAGGAAGATAAAGAGACATATTGTAGGAAGAGGGAAGGAGGTGCCTGTTTTTCTAGAGGTTGATGATGATGCGATGCTTGATTGAGAAGTCCATGTATAGGAATAAGTTATACCCTTGTGCGATGTATTTTAAGTATGATAGAGAGTGGATATTGAAGATTATTAGAAGTATGAGCTCTGATGATGATTCGAAAGATGAGGAGACGATGCAGGAATGAATTTGAAAGTTTATGTGGTTTGAGTATATTTGAGCATTTTTGTTGCACCCAAGGATGAGGATCCTGATAACATCTGACAATCATCTTGGATTTAAGGAGAATGACCCAATAAGAGGGGACGATAGCTATCGTGCGTTTGAGGAGATACTGATGATTGCAAATGAAAAGAAAGTTGACATGATATTGCAGGGAGGAGATCTATTCCACGATAACAGACCATCGCGAGGATGTCTCAGCAAAACGGTTGGCCTTTTTAGAAAGTATTGTTTTGGAGAGAAGCGATCTGAGCTTAAGTCTAATGTGCGTTTGAATACAGAGGATCCAAGCATCAGCGTATCTATCCCTGTTGTGATTATTCACGGGAACCACGATGATCCAAGCGGAGTTGACATGGTTTCACCGATTGATATATTAGAGAGTGCAAAGCTTGTGAATTATATAGGAAAGCACGGGCGCCTGGATGTTATAGAAATAGTACCATTGCTGATGGAGAAGGAAGGGAAGGTGGCGGTGTATGGATTAGGCCATATTAAGGAGAGGAGATTGTACAAGATGTTTGCTGAAGGGAAAGTTTTGTTTCAGAAGCCAGCTGATGATGAAGGATGGTATAATATTCTTGTTGTGCATCAGAACAGAGTTGTAAGGGAGAAGGGGCAGATTAGTGAGAAGCTTGAGGAAGGGTTTTTTGATCTTATAGTGTATGGGCATGAGCATGAGAGTTTGATAAGCAAGTGCAAGGGGAGAAGTATGGTGATACAGCCGGGATCTACTGTAAGAACATCGTTTCTTGAAGCAGAATGTTATGACAAATATATATATGTGTTGGATGTTGATAGGGATGTGGCAGTAGAGCAAATAAAGCTGCGTAGTGTAAGGCCGCTGGCGATTGGGAATTTGAAGATCGAAGGAAAGCAGAATGCAGAGGAAATTGTGGAGGCGAAAGTGAAGCAAATGCTTGGCAGGCTAGGCAATGACGATCGGTGTGCAGAAAGCAAGGTTTATAGAGAAGAAAGTGCAAAAAGAAGTAGATATGAGGGATTTGAACCAAATAGGATCGCGATTGTAAGGAGCATCTCTTTGATTGAGAAGGACGGATCATCTGGCGCTGTGAATGATTTTCCGCTTGTAAGATTAAGGGTTGAGATTGGCGAAGGATGTGTGGTGAATAGACATAAGGTGAGCGATTTGCTGAGGAACATGATTGCGAATCCTCAAGATGCAATAAGTTTGGTTAGAAAGTCTCGAGATGGTAATGAATCAAAGGTACATGCAAGAGGAGAGAAGATTGGGATAGCACAAATACTTGAGGATTGTCTCAAGAATGTGGAGTTTGGTATACTCAGCAAATCAAGGTTTTGTGAAAGCTTAGATGACTTTGTGAAAGGAGACAGGGAGGCATTTGGCACGATGATTAGGAATGGAATTGAAAGGATTGTGGGTCTGGTTGATTATTCTTCTGTTATGAGTGAGGATTTAGAGTCTGTGATGAAGAAAATCAGTCAAGAGCAGGACAAGAACATAGTGATTGATAGCTTAAATGATGAGCCTAGACAAAGCGAGGATAGAAGTATAATTGATCCTGATGAATGCAAATGGATATCTGGAGTTGAAGTAGGGAAGACTGGCGAGGAGTGCTTGAGAAGGGAAATAAAGAAGGATAGGGATGAGTCAGGTACAGATGGATCGTTTTCGTTTTCCAAGTATGGTTAACAGCTTGACTGCTGGTGAGGTCGGCAAGATACTTTTTGAAGTATGGCTATACTGTGCATGATGGTATTTATTTAATGTTTTAATCTATGCTGCAGTGTTTTTGGCTTGCTTTATTCAAACGAGTAAATATTGTTTCTATTGGTTTTTTCTTCTGTCTATGCAAGCTGATAAATCTAGAATGCAGATAGTGGGATGAATTGAAATCTGAAAGGTGCTGGAGTGTGTGTGGTGGAGTGAATGGAGATTTGGTGTGTATTGCATCACATGACCTTTCTTTCAGCTCCATACCTTGATTAGTGCAGAGAACAATATAATTGGTTGACAGAGTGCCTTGCATATGGTTTATGAATGAGACAACTGCTTCGATTATGTTTTTGCTCCAAACTATTGATTTGTGGTATGACAGTGATATTTCCTCGATGCTGTGCACAGGAATGTGGGCTCCATCCAGAGCAAGGATGTCTGAGAACTGATCCAGCTGAGCGGAATGCAGATTATCTATGAATTGGACGTGGATGTATGACAATTTGACCTGTGTGTTCTGTAGAAGAACACCTTCAATGAAGAGTGTAGATGGTATTTTCATAGACGATGTGTATGTTGCTATTTTTGTTGGCATGAATGTGTTTGTTTACTGATTGTATAATAAGTGTATGTGCGGATTTATTTATGTATATGGCGGATAAATTGAGAGAGCAGCGCCCCTGGGATGCTTGTATTTGTAGCAGGTTTTATAGCTGGGCTTTTATCCTTTCCATTTGCATTTTGCCTGATTCCTTTTGTAGCTGGGAAGGCGTATAGGAAAAGAATGCTGACAATTGCTGAGAGAAGCAAGAAAGTGGACATAAGCACAGGGCAATTGAATGCGGTTCTTAAAAGCATGCACAGATGTGTTGATGTGCATTGGATGAACTCAATGCTGCAAAGGCTTTATGTGGAGATGTCGAAGTCGCATGCTGTGAAGCTGAAGGTAAAGTCGGTGATACTCAAGAAAGTTGAGTCATCGGGGATGAACAAGTATATCAAAAGCATCGAGGTGTCAGATATTGTTTTGGGAAGTGAAGCACCTTATGTGAGCAGTGTGCAGGTGGTGTCTGATGAAGATGTAAGGCGAATGGCGATCTGCAGTAATGAAGAGGTGAATATGGAAGATGTCGAAAAGCTGTCATCGCTTGGAGAAGAAATCAAGAAAGATCTTGGTCTTGATGAAGATGCATTCAAGCACCTGCCAAGAAGCGCCACGGAGATTGACATAAGGAATTCGGTGAATGGGATGTGCAAAGCAGATAAGGAAATGCTTAGTAATGGGCTCGAGAATGTGATCGATGGGGCAGAGATCAGTAAAAGAAGATATGATGATGCAAATCGGAATAATAATGAACAAAAGGACATGTATTTCATGCATGCAGAGTCTCATATGAATACACGAGAATCTGTTAAGTGTAATGATGAGCATGGTAACGAAGCGGAGACATCAAGAAAGGCATTTGAGAATCTTCAGGTGGTTTTTGGGATTGATTACAAAGGAGGATTTCAAATTTCGCTGAGCTTAGAGCTTCCCAGAAAAGTGTTCCTGAAGGTAGTAGTGAATATTGGTGGAATAAGAGGGAATGTGCTTGTGAAGATGCCATCAAAGAGCTATGATACAAGATATGAGTATTGTTTTCTTTCGAAGCCTGATCTGGCTATTGCCGTGGAGTCTGGAATACTAAGTTCACAGGGAAAGCTTGGATTCCGAAAGTCAATATCGAAGTTTATTGAGAGATATATTAGGCAGGCCGTTTTTGGAACGATGGTGTATCCTTACTGGAACGAGCAATATCTTCCATTTGTGATTCCATCGATCAAGGATGTGTTGCATTCGATTGAGAAGGTGACACCGAACAACTTTGCAGCTGAGATTCAGAAGATATCCGAGGGAATCAACCTGTATACTCTGATGGACTATAAGATAGTTGAGGTTGAAGATGAAATAGTGTATAGGAGAATAGGATATTTCATTAATGGAAGTGAAAGGATATATTGCTCACATTTTGTTATTCCGCAGGTTTCGCTCAAAACATCCCGCTTCTATGGAGACAACCGATTTTTCAAGAGCCTGTCTGTTCAGGAAAGCAGAGTTATGAGCCTCCTGTATAATTGGGAGATGTTTTCGGATGTCATTTCTGGATTCAAGGGAATGAGGACGCTACTTGTGCTTAGCTCTGAGTCTTCGCTGGTAGAAGTTGCTTTTGATGAAGAAAGATATGAGTTTGTGAGGATAGTGATGAAGAATGGAATTATATTCCAACGGAACGATCCTGGAAGTCCTGAATTTATTGCGTTCAGGATATCTGAGGAGGTGTTGTATGTTTACCAGTATGTAACAACGAGGAAGCTTATGATTAGCAAGAGAAGGATGTCGAAGATGAAGAGTAAGCTTGAGCTGAAGCCTTTTACTTCGCTAGGGCTAGCATCATTGTACAGACTGATTAAGTTTTCAAAGCAAGCTGCACTTAGCTATTTCAAATCATCTTCAGATTTGTGTGACGCAGATAACGAAGTATGTGAAACAGACAAGGAGCAGAATGAGCTTGAGCTCCCTAATGCTAGAGACAAGTCAACAACCGAGCTTGTAGAGATATTTGAGGATATAATTGCAGATATCCATACGTCCAAATACGTTTTGAAAAGCATATGCACCAGAGCAATTCCTGAAAGTATATACAGAGTTTTAAAGCAAGATGAGGTTCGAATGAAACTGTTTTCTGAATATAGTGAAATATACACTGTGGTGGAGGAGACAAGTGCAATTAGAAGTATTGTTGTTGAGAACAAGGCTTTTATTGATGAAATGGATGGTGAAGAGAGAGGTGTGCATCAAGATAGGCTGGGCATAGCATCTAGAAGAGCTGTTGAGAATGACTTTGTTGTGCATTCGTATTTTGGAGAGCAAATCATTGTTGACTTGAGATTTGGCAAAGGCAAAGATGTTTTTGTGTATAGGGTTGATGAGATAGAAGATAACACACATGGCTATAAATCAAAGGTTGAGCTTTATTACAATGAGTCGGCATGTATACAGTTTCCAAACTATTTTTTCGAGGCATTTATGCTGAGGATAAAGCAAGACGAGTACATGTCAATTGTGTCTGCGATTGCATATGAGACATCTCCTATAGAGAAGATATTTAGAAAGGAGGTTGATGTGTATCAAGGCGCATTGTACATAGAATTTTTTACGGATGCGCCTGACGACTACACATTTACCGTTTATAAGGCAAGTAGTGGAGAGGTTGTTTATGAAATATACAAGGTGATTACATCGAGGAAGGCCAGAATAGTTGTTCCGAGTATAGGTGGGAAGGAGGGCGTGGTGATCACGCTTGTCCCGAAGTTCAACAGGAACACAAAAATCCACCACAGGATTATCTGCCTTCCCGAAGTATTCAGGAGTGAAGCATTGGTTGATTGCAATATAGGGCTGTCTAAGAATATGAAGTTCCACTGTATGGTATCTGGAACAACAGATTCTGTGATTTTCTGGGAAAAGTGTTATGATGAAGATATCCGTGGATATATAGAAGACAACACCACCAAAGTGGCAATAACAGGATGTGGAACAATGAGAACAGATAACAAGGAGTATAGCATCTACTACAAGAATAAGGGAAATAAGAAACGAGAAATAAGGGTTTTTGTCGGATTGAGCCTGAAAAAAGAATGATTGTTAATAAACATGGTTTATTGCTCATATGGTGGAATGCGTATTATCTTGAGCTGATGCTGATATTTCACTGATTAGCACATCAAAGTCAATCATTTTTAAGTTTGAAGGAATGTCAAAACAGCCCAATCCTATGATTGAGATATTTTCCCCTCTTATAATGAATAGCTGATGTATTTTTTCTGCATACTTGCCGTTATGAAAGATTCTCTCAACAACTTTATCCAAGGTTATGCTGTTAAATTGATCAAATGATTTCATTATGCCATAAAGATGTCTTTTATCTCTCAGCATGACCACAACGCTCTTTTCGAGGTAAGCTTCATAGTCCCTCATATCGACCGAGCAATTATCTGCCATTGTTATCTAGGGCTATGCCAGTGTGTTGAATCAAATAGAATCATATACTCAGATAATCCAATTTAAGCTTCTATAAACATTGTTTACTATGTATTATTGGCATATGCATAATGGGACTTTCAAACATACTTGTAATCGTCTCGTTCGCCATGGAATTCGTCAATTTTCCTTTTGATCTTTGACTCTTCAGCCCAGGACACAAAGTCTTCCATTGCCTTGCTTATAATGGCCGAAGGATCATAAACGATCTTTGATCCCAACCTAACATGCCCATGCTCAACAAATCTCGTTGCGTCTTTTGAGCTTGGAACCATATGCATGTTCTTCATAATCATGGGCAGTCTGCGCTCGCAGAAGCTTGAAACCGTGACCTTTGTGCAATCTACAAGCTTTTTGTTTTTGATGATTCCGATTCCGTAGAGCTTATTGACAAGCTTCCTGGTAATGCTTGCACGAACAGGATCGCTTTCTTTCAGTCTTGCCAGTGCTTCCGAAATCTTGGTGATCTTTCCAGCAATTCTATTGTACTTTACATACTCCTCTCTATCTCTTAAGTGGTATTTTGACATAACGAGATGCTCTCTTGCTGTATTTGTACTCTTCCATTCCAAAAAGTTTACTTTTTTGAGAAGCTTTTTCTCATGGAACTTCAGCTCTCTCATGGGTTCAAGCATTTGCATCCACAAAGATCCTCTGCAAAAAGCGTCTTAGCCTTAAACTTGCAGATACCTCGCACGGCATAGAGCAGACATACTCTCAAGAAATAGAAACATACATCATAAGGACTTATTTATCAAATACTTCTGCAATAAAATGCTCAAAAGGCATCGTATCTTGCTGAATGTCTCCTTCTGTGCTCGCCAACGAAAAATGCAATGTTTGTGCACACTTTTCGTCCTCACTGCGGCGGAAGCCTACATAGCTTCGCCCGCTCGAGATTGGCGTCAACTTGAATGTCGGAGACTGTGGAATGCAATCTTCTGATGGATCTATTTTCTCAAACACTGTTGTGGAAATAAACATGTCGAGCTTACGGTAGTTTGTGCTATCTTTTGCAAACACTCTATGCTCAAAATCCTTGACATGCTCTTCATAGTTGCTAAACTTCACATAGCAAACTTCACAAAATCCTTCTCTTGTCTGCCTTCTTTTTCCAGGTTGTTTGTACCTCTTTGCCGCTTGGTATGGACAGCAAAGAGCCGGGCTGTCTAGATGTAGTTTCGGGGCATTTCCATTCGTATACTCTTTATAGAATGGCTGGTGCTTGTTCTGGATATCTTCTATAAGAAGATAAGGCTTCTTGAATACCTTGTAGCCTTTCATTTCTTGCAGCCTGGCCTCCACCCATTATTATTTTTGTTTTTGGCGGGAATGTACACATGTGCGTATCCATCCTATCAATAATGCTCAAACTCAAATACAAATACAAACAGCATCAAAGCTTTGGAAAATAGCAAGACAAGAGATTTACTGTTATTTGGCGCTAATTCTTTCAAGAACACTTTGGATTTCGTTCCTTTGCAAAAATCTTTTGCTGGTGCTTGAGAAGTGTAAAATTTCCATTCTTTCGGCCTGTTTGGGTGTCGATTCCTGGACCTTCGCCAGAGCCTTGAGGATTTCGAACGTTGCTTTTTCCATGTCCATCTCTTCGTCAGGAACATCATTACTCAGAGCACGGTTGATCGATTCCTCATTCTCTCCATAGCACATTGCCGTCCAGCGGTTTATTGTACCGCTTGGATCGGTAGATGCCAGTGCATATTGGTTTTCAATGACGCCGGCATATAGAAACGACACACCAAACGGTCTGGTTCCTGCATACTGCGTAAATGCTTGTTTTTTTTGTCCAATAAATTTACAAAGCGTTAGAAGAGGGCAGACTACTCCAAACCGCTCCAGTGTGTCCTGTGCCTTGATCTGCGCATATTTCTTAATGCTCATTGCGTCTCCAAACAATCCAGAGAGTGCACAGTAGATATCATCGCTCAGCTGGTATATCTTTTCTATAGATCCGTTCGTAGGCTCTTTGTTAATTCCAATAAGCACCACTCCATCCACACAAACACGGCCGATTATTGTTCCTGCCCTGGAAACATTCTTGATTGCAAATTCAACCTGTGGCAGCCTACCTTCATCTGTGAAGATGTTGGACTTGGGTTTGTTGTCTTCCATGGTTGAGGGTTTGCGATTATCAAATGATTTGCATAAGTGTTTTGTATTCTAATTGCAGAGTGCAGGCAGTCGTAAATACCTGAGCATTGATGCATTTACTGCAAACGTAGCCCTTGAGGACATGAAGGGGCTGTTTAACAAGATAGAGATAAGCTCATCGTGTTGCCTTGGAAAGAAGGAAAAGAAGGACATAAACAAACATATTGGCCAAGAGTTGCTGAGCAAGGATGAGTTGTACATGGTGTACAAAAGTAAGAAGAAGGTGGCCCTTATAGCTTTAGGCAAGCATACTATTCTTTTCTGCTTGAACAGGAAGTATTTCCCAACGATAAGGTATCTTGAGGAGAGAGGCACAGAGAGGTTCTGTGAAGTTTTTTTGGATGAGGGTGCTGTTGGTCCACTGAGCCGAGGTGCTGATGTCATGATTCCTGGAGTGATGAAATACAGGGAACTTTTGAAAAGCAGGTTCAAGAAGGGCGACGTGGTGCTGGTAAACATAATTGGGAGGTCGATTGTGGCGGTTGGAGAAGCAATTATTGACTTTGATGAGATGAATGAAGAAGGAACGGGGGTTTGCATTGAGGTGTATCATAGGATAGGAGACGAGTTGTATGAAGAGAAGTACATGTGATAGCAAGGATCGTGTGAGTGGGGCTTTGAACGGATATACATGGAGACGATGCGAGATGTGCCAGAGGTAGAGTATGGCGATGAATAATAAATAAATGGAGTTGGGGTTATGGTGTAGTATATAATGTGACATGTGGAAGTTGACAGTTGCGGCCATATCCACGGAAAAGCACCGGATCTCGTCAGATCTCCGAAGTTAAGCCTGTGCGAGCCTGGTTAGTACTGAGTCGGGAGACCACTCGGGAATCCTGGGTGCTGCAACTTTTTGCACATCGAGAATATATGCGTGAGCATCAAACCCATTAATAATGCAATATCAACAGCATCTTGACTCAATGCCTTACTAGTTTCTAATTATACATGCCTTGAAGAGTATGCATAAACAATCGGCACCTCCTCCAATACAAACTGACTCCATTGCCTATCCATTATTCAATCCTCTCACATTGATTGCTTGCTCAATAGCATGATACCAAACACTAACATCTATTCCGTTTATTTATCGTCCAAAAACACCATCTGATGCACATACTGCATGGGAAAACACATATCCCGGTGAGACCTTGCAATTAACCAGCTTGCTACCCTCAGGAATACTCACCATGCATCCAACCAGTGTCCCTTCAACACGCGACCCTTTTCCAATCTTAACGCCATTCATCAAAATCGAACACATAACCTTGCTTCCACTGCCAATAATACATTTGTTTCCTATGATTGAATCAAAAACAATCGCACCTTCTTCAATCTGAACCTCTGCATCGATCAAATTGCTTATGTCTTTTATGCTGTTTCTCTTTGTATACTCCTTCACAAATTTTGTATTTGTATCATCTATCCTTGGCTTTGCACCCGTGCTAGCAATCTGCTTTTTCAGCAATGCATTCACTTCCAAATAGTCATCAATTGTTCTTACATGATGCAGATCCCCCTTTCTTGGGCTGTATATTCCTACTGGATTGCTTATTCCAAGCTCTTTTACAAGATTAGGCATCAGATCATGCTTAAAGCTAAAAAATCTCGAGTCAAGCATCTCAAATAAATTGCTCTTCATCATATATAGTGGAACAACATCATAATCCTTTGTCAGTGTTAATCCATCTTTCAGTAATGCAAATGGAATCTTATACTCCTGACTAATTGCATAAAACATCAAATTGTCTACTCTGTATCCTATCAATGTGCCTTCCATCTTCGAATTCTGCAATGCCACCATAAGCATCCTTTTGCTTTCAAAATACTTCTGCGCCATTTCCTTAATGCTAATGCTTCCAACTATGTCTCCTTTGCACACTATCACATCTTCGCACTCGATTATTGCTCGAATTGCCATTAGAGACGCAACAGTTCCATCATACGTCTCAATCCCTACATACTCAATAGGCTTCTTAGTCGCAGATATAGTTGCACTCAATACTGCATCTCTTTCTTCATCCAGCCCGACAATAACAAACTTTCTAGACACACTTTCCAAAAGTCTGATTGTGTGATATATTATTGGATTGTTAACAACCGGAATGCACGCCTTCGGGAGCCTTTTGTTTACTATTGGAAACATTTCTGCTCCTGGCCCTATCAAAATAATCGTCTCAAACATATACAGCACAAGGGATCTAAAATCACTCTTATTGGTTTCAGGCATTCTTAAATCCATAGCTCGACATCCGCACAATGAAGATCAGCCTTAGTTTTGCTGTGGCTCTTCTTTTTGCATACAGACAGGCCGTCATGCTTCATGAACTCGTATTCATTCACTCATGTATGAAACACTTGAAACAAAAGACGCTTTGGTTCGATCGTGAGTCTACTATGGGCAAACTAGCCACAAGCACAGACTCGTTCTTTACAAGCCAAGAAAATGCATACAAGTTAAGGTCATGCAAATTGCTCCGCAAAATGAAATTAATAACATTCCATGCATTAGCCATATTTTTGTTCCTTACCGACAGATTCAAAAATTGCATAATTGGTATTTCCAAAAAAATCAAAGTCCCAGCGCCAGAAGTTGCATTGCCAGCGCTTCTGCTTTTTACAATTACACTAATAGATACTCTATTTGGATACAAATCTTTATTTATAGAAAAATCATACTCATTCAAGCAATTCTCTCCATCATGGATCGTGCCTTTAATGTTTGTGCTCGAAATCTTTCTACTAATGCATCTGGTAGCGTATTTTCTTAGTGTGTTTGGACTAAAGTTTGTTGCATTGTGCTATCTTATTGTCTGTGTCCAGGCTGTATTTCGCATATCAGGATACACAGGCAAACAGAGCGACACCATGATGAAAATACCCATAAGCACATTCAATGACGATGTAAAGCACATGCTCAAGTCCGAGTACCTCGATGAATCTGTTTATGCCACGTCAAAGCAAAAAATAACCATGAATGCTCTTCATGCAGGAGTACTAGATACAAAAAGAATAGAAGTTCATGGAGGAATAGTAGAAACAGTTCCCGAAGATCTAAATGTAATTCTGATCCACGAGATAGGCCATTCAATAGACAACATCATGCTTAAAAGACTTTTGCTTGAGTGTTTCATAACGTTTTTGGAAATGCTTATGCTTGCATGGATATTTAGATCTGGACATGAAACACTTGGAAACACAGACATGTCGCCAGAAGCATTCACTATCCTGACGGCTGTTTTGTATGCTTGCATGGTAAAGATGATAGTTTATACATTCTATAACTTGTATTCGCAGAATTCGGAAATATTTGCTGACAGCATCGTCAAGGATAAGGGATACAAAGACGATCTGTTTAGGATACTATTTAAGCTGACCCTCGACAACGGATGTGTTATAGACACTACGTTTCTATACAACTCAATGGTTTCGCTGCATCCGAGCATCCGCAAAAGAATAGAAAGCAATGCTGATGACTGAGCCGTACATTGCTAGATATGCGAAGCGCCTAATAATTCATTCCATGGCATGCATGGCTTTATGCATGCATATAATGCACTTAGCAACGCCATATTATATAATGTAAAATTGCCGCGATTTTGGATAAAAGAGATATGCATATCCCCAGGCATGGAAGACGATCTGTTTGATGATTTAAAGGAGCATGGAATGTTTGTAGCATATGAAAACGAAGAAGACAAACTTTATGGCGAGCTGAGTGCCTTTGACATCGAATATGTCGAAGCATATGTCGGAGGGTCCAATGAGTTAAAGAATGCGTTTATGAAGCATTTCAATGTATCCAGGCTTCCTGTGCTAGTATTGAACGGACAGCCTGTATTAGATGACGTTGAAAATAAAGTCAAGGAGTACATAAAGTCAAAAGATCAAGATGTTGTGGAGAGGATTCAAGGAGTCATCGATCCAAATAAGATAGTCGTTTTTATCAAAGGGTCTCCTAGGAATCCAAAGTGCGGATTTACCAGATCGCTTATTGATACATTGCTTGATGTGGGTGTTTCAATGGACAGCATCGTATACTTTGATATTTTGCAAGACGAAGACGTTCGCAGAAAGATGAAGGAGCTCAATAACTGGCCTACATTTCCTCAGGTTTATATCAGGGGCGAGTTTGTAGGGGGATTGGATGTTATCAAGCAAATGAATGCAAAAGGGCAGCTTACCAAGGACTTTCTTGGGATATTCTAGAATAAAAACGTTTTGTTTACTGAGTTCTGGTACAATCATCTACATTACAAGCAGCAAGCAAACAAAGACAATGAAACATTTTTGGAAGGGCAGCTTTTATGTATTCTTTGCACTAACGTATCTGGCACTGTCTCTTGAGGCTCTGAATATGTTTAATGTTCAGAAAGATCTGGATTCTGGAAAAACAGGTCTTGAGGCAAGCCTTGCAGCAAATGAAATGGCAAAAAACGATGAAACATATGTACCAGCACTTAGAATGGCCTTATCAAAGAGAAATATTGAGATATCTGTAAGCCTTGCAGTACATACTATCCACTTTCTTGCATGCATTATGTTCTTTGTAACAAGCGCAAGAAATAAAAGTTTGAAGTTCATAGACAGGCTGTTTGGCAACATCGTCAAAGTAGGGCTTGTGTTTTTAACGTTCATGCTGAGCATGCTGATGATGGATGTGATATTGGACTATACTGTTGTTCTTCTTGGTAAAAACACACCGCTCGCAACAGTGTTATTAATATGTTTTTTTGCCGTTGTGATTGTCTTCCCCGTGTTTGTGTTTATATCTACAAAGCTATTGAGGATATTCGGCACTAGCTTCATAATAGCATGCTACCTGTCGTACTTTGTGCTGGAGGTATTGGAGATTGTGTTTATTTCAGGCGTGAACTCTGCCAAGATGGTCAAGGTAGCGCCAGCGATATTTTCCGAAAGCGTACAGACGGTTCTGAACGAGCAGGGATTGTCTCAGTCCATATACAGGGAACAAATACCTGGAAATGATGTGAATGCAGCGCTTATAGGGATTGGAAGCGAAGAAAGAATAGAAATATATGGAAGCATGCAAGGCATAGATAAAAGGGAATTGGAGTCGATAATGATGCACGAAGCAGGCCATTCGTATCACAAAAGTCTAACAAAAAAGATTCTTGTGTTTTTCGGGCTTCTGATTGCTGAGCTGGCAATCTTGGTTTTTATTTTTAGCAAGTATGCAGATAAGTTTGTATGTGAAGGCATCACGAAAGAATATTCATTTCTTGCTCTAGCATGCATTTACTTTGTGTCGATTAGACCATGGATATTTGTTTTGTACAACCTTACATCGCAAAGCACAGAGGTATCTGCAGACATTATTACAAAGAAGTATAACTATAACAGCATATTAGCAAGTGTTTTATACAAAATATCTATGCAATCCTTTGAGTTTATAGCACCTTCTTCGATGTACAACCTGCTGAACTCCTTGCATCCAAGCACACTGTCCAGGATTGAATATTTAAGCAACTGAGCCAAGCATTGGGTTTGTTGACTATGATGTGAATATACTGTATGAATTAGGATTGCAGTGCCTGATCAAAATAGAAACACGGATCCCCAAAGATGGATAGTTTGAAAGAAAGTGTAAACACATACAGCTCTGAGGGGCGAATCCACCAGATTGAATATGCAATGAAGGCTATGAATCTTGGAACAACAACGATTGGAGTGCGTACGAGCGAGTTTGCAATACTCTGCTCTGAAAAGAAGGTGATGTCGACACTGCAGAATCCAAGAAGCATCATGAAGCATCACAAGATTTATGACAACATTGTGCTTGGGTTTTCTGGAATAAGCGGCGATACAAAAACAATTGTAAACAAATCCAGGGAATTTTGCATATCTCACACATACAAGTATAATGAAAATACAAGTGTTGAAAGATTACTGAAATATCTATCCAGTTTGAGTTTAAGATTCAGTGAAGAGGACGAGGCAAAGATGATATTCAGAAGACCATTTGGTGTTTCTCTTCTAATTGCAGGGTTTGACACTGAGCCAAGGCTGTATTTTTTGGATCCTTCGGGATCATACACCGGCTACAAGGCGAAGGCAATAGGATCTGGGAATGAGGTAATTGAAGGGCTGCTTGAGCCGGAGTATGAAGAGTACACAACTCTTGACGAGTCGCTAAAAAAGGTATTGCTAACGCTTGCAAAGGCAATGAAGGACAAGATCTCCAAAGACAATGTAGAGATCGCAATTGTTACCAAAGAAGAAATCAAATTCCTGGAGCCCGAGGAGATTGCAAAGTATCTATGAAGTAAATTTCGTAAGGTTTCGTTTTATTGCACAAAAGTTTATTTATTGTATTTTTTATCTTTGGATAGTATCTTAATGTGCTTGCTGTACTGACTAGCTGGTATTTTCTTAGAGTGGGATGTGTTTAGCTTTACGTCTCTATTGCTGCGTTTTTTTGTGTGCTTCATGACCTTTAAAGCACATTCTGTCATTAAGCTGCTATCTATTGCATTGTATACTGATGGAATGTAAACTCTTTCCAGGATTGAGAGTGCTTCCTCATTTGTCGGGCTGCACTTTTGCACAAACTCATCGAAGTATACTTCTTCAAGAGTTAGCATTCTGCTAATTATAGCCCTCAGTGCATCCAGCATGCCAACTTCATGGTACAGGTACTTGAGAGCATTCAGGCTCTGCTTTTGAAGATACTCTGCACTGCATTGCTTTAAAAACATGTCAATTACTGCAGACCCACAGTTTTTGTTGCTGCATAATGCATTATTACTGCAGAATTGAGCAAGCACTTTCTTCAGAAGCTCAAAGACATCGACATTGAAGTATTTTGACAGGTATCGTACTATGCGATCAACCAGCATTGTATACTCATCTGTTCCACAGCATATTTTTGCATCATTTGTATTCTGGTGTACTTCTACCTGCAGCATCAGCCTTTCGATAGGCTCATTTTTTGGATTAATAAGCTTGGCTCTTTGAATGGCTCCCTCGTAGTCTTCGAAGTACACATATGTCGAAAGCACTTCAAGTAAATAGGTGGATTTGACAATTACATTACTTGATTTTTTCTGCAACGTCTGGATTGCTTTGTTTTTCTGCCCCGCGCTCCTGTATATGCTTGCTAGCATATATAGATTTCCCTCGAATATCCAATCTTCTATATCATTGCCGAGTACCTCTGTAGCGTCTTCGAACTCTCCAAAGTTTGCGAAGCTCCTCTTTTTGAAAAAGCTCATGCACTCCTACCCTTATACATGCATACATATTTGATTGGTTAGCATGGGAATGGGCTCTGCAGGGATTGGTTCGACAAATAGGAGAGTATCAGGCTGCATTGATATCATAGAATGGATTGCAAGGAACAATGGAAACAAGCGTAAGGATTGAGCTAAACAAGGAAATATATGTGTGTGGAGACGAGGTCAGAGGAACGATTGAGATAAAGACCAGGAATCCACTCAGCATCAGTAAAATCAACTTGAAGTTGTTGAGAAAGATGGAGATGAGTATACAACGAACCGAAGAGGGAAAGCATGAAGGAGATGTGTTTGAAGCAGTTGATAGGAATATCAGCAAATATTGCTATGAGTTTGAAGTATATACGAATGAAGACCCCTTGGAGGAGATTTCAAGCGGGCATCACAGATTTCCATTCAAATTTGAGCTTAGAAGGGATGACGGAGGATCATCTGATGTGAAGGGCGTGTACTTTGATCTTTTATGCAACATAAAAGGATCCTACTGTTTTCATGCGGATATATATATGTTTGGAATCCATAATCCGGTATACTCTGTAGATAGAGAAATGCAAGTAATAGAAAGCAACGCAGAACCTAAAGCTTTCCACGCCACTGTTGAGATCCAGTCTCCTATTTGCTTTTTTGGAAGGAAATACAATGTAAGCTTTGAGTTGAACAAGCTGTTTTATTTTTCTGGCGATGCACTGGCAATCAGAGCATGTATACCTTCAAGAACGCCAAAGATAAAATGTATGGAGTGCTTTCTGTATGAGATTCTCAGCATATCAGCAAATGGGCAGGAAGAAATACGAACAAAGTATATTGCTGGTGGAGAAGGCGTGAACGAAGGAGAAGGAAGAGCATCCACACTATGCCTAAGAATTCCATCTACAACACCATCTACATTTACTGACAACGAAGTAGGAATGAGGATTGTATTGTTTATCAATCTTGGGCTCAGCAAGGGAGCACCAATTAAGATCAAGAAGTATCTGCAGGTAGTTAAGAAGCAAATTGCTTATGCAGAGATCGACAGCATTAATGTGCTAGAGGGAGAAATATACCCAGAAAAGGTGTTTATGCTCTCTTGATACGTATATGCCCATGTAGATATTAAAAAGACTGATTTATTTGGTAAATGTTTTTGGATCTAAGCTTTCTTCTTGTGTTTTGAGGCTCGAGTCTTCTTCGACCATCTTCTTTGCCTGAGCATATGCGAAAATATAAACATGAATCCTGGAGCATATGCAAGTGCAGACATTGCAACTGCATACGAAATAACTCTGCCTGAGCTGTCGTAAAGCATCTTCAGGCAATACATCTCCAGAAAAAATCCAGTTGGAGAGGTTAATAGAAAGAGGTTGTACCGTATGATGCCTATTGTGTGTGTTCTGAATATGTAGAATATATATCGTATCATATTTGACAAGCACCAGCATGATATTATTACGGGAAACGACCAGTTGATTATTTTATAGTACCAGAACACAATCCATATCATGAGTAGCTGCGAAACCACTTGCATCACAGTGGGAAGGTATCTTGCATTGCTTTTCTTGGTGCATATGTTTGCTATTTCCATGATAAAGAATGATTGAAGTATGCCCATTGCCTTCAGATAGCTTGTGTTCATTGTTGCATAGAATCTTAGCCCTGCAAGCAATGAAAACATCGAAACAAGCAATCCGAGCATGTTGTATGCTTTAATATAGCTTGAGGTTATCATTTCCGGGGGTAGTGACTAAACGAATCCGTATTCTGTTCGCTCTATACATCATGGGTGTGATTGTAGCTGTAAAGCAAGTAGTGTTGTGATGCAAGGGCTAGATTTGGGATGCCGATGTAATATGGAATGTGAATGACGAATGGCAAATGATGCTGTATGAAATGCCTCGATGCCATGATAAAAATATTTTAAGTTTAAAACCCCAATGCAGACAATGCAGATATTCATAGGAAAGATTCCGACACAGGTTACTGAAGAGGGTATCCGAGAGTATTTCAAGCAGTTTGGAGAGATTTCTGAGGTGATTATGAAGGACACATATGGGTTTCTGAGTTTTTCATCGGAGGAGAGTGTGACGAAAGTGCTGAACCAGCGGTCGCATGTGATTGATGGAGGAGTTGTAGCAGTGGAGAAATCGAATGGCAGGAAGAGACCATTTACAGCAGACTACAGCGATAGATATGTAGATGCAAGCCGTGCACCGTATGATCGTAAATATATGCCGCGCACTCCTTATGAAAGCAGAGCATCACCTCCTGGAAGATATGAGCCAAGATATACGGACAGCAGATATGCGCCACAAGACTATTATCGCGGAGAGCCAATGCGAATGGGCGGAGATCCTCGTAGAGATAGGGAGTATTGCGACTATTGCAATGGATGCCCCATCCATGGAATAAGAGAGACCATGGATTTGAGGAAGAGGCACCAAGCACTAACTCCAAGGGACTATCCAAACAACTATCTCAAGGTTGTGTTTGAGAACATTGCACCTAACACCTCTATTGAAGATTTCAAGGCGTTTTTGAGAGAGAATGGGTTTGAGCCAACATATGCCAGGCTTGGATACACAGGAAATCATGCAGTTATTGAGTTTAAGAACTTTGATGACAAGGACAATTCCATGAAGCAATTTGATGGAGCAGATTACAATGGCCATATTCTTAAGACACGATCCTATCTTCCAAAGGATGAATACAAAAGTCGAGAGAAGGAGCCATATGCGAAGAGCGAGCATACTATCGAAGCGAATGCAACAGAGACACAAAATGATGCACTTGGTGCTTTTGAGGGTGATGCAGAAAAGACGGATGGTTGATTAAAATTCGTGAATCATTTACTCAGCTTTTTGGTACATAATGCTTCTTTGCCTTTGCACAGCAATTTTTCTATTAATGCAGCTGGGTGACTGTATTTTTTGCTATGAACCACTGTATAGCAGGTGCTTGATAAAAGTGGAGGAGCAGTGCATTCATGTATTAGTATTGTGCTTTCTGTACCGAAGTCTATTGGATCTATGAAATATGCAACGCTAAGTTTTGAACCATTTTGCAACAGCGCCTTGTGTATGCTATCTGGCTTTTCGGTTCCAGAGCTCAATTTATAGAGGGACATTGATATGCAAACCATTCCTAGGATTTTATATTGGCCTTTGTCTATGCGCTCTGTGTTCGTAGCCATTTGATATCCTTTGAGGGCATGCTGAATTCAGTAAAGTGATAATGATGCATTGAAGATGCAGTATGGCATAATTTCGGTTCCGTATGCATGTGGTTCTTGGTTCTAATTACAAATTTTATTTTTGCCTGTCTGCTTGGATTTCTGTAACTCCTCGTGAATGATTGATTTTAGTATCATCTGTAATACAAGACTCAATAAAATGAACACATGCCCAATATAGTATACGCCGTGCCATGTGTTGAGGAGCTCAGAAAGATTGAGCAGGAAGAAGGACGGGGTGAAGTACGAGGTGATTATAAACATCTGAGCTCTTGACAGTATCCAGAACATTGATGGGCAGAATTTCATGACTATAGCATTGTTCTTTTTTACAATAGCATTCGATGTTGTTATTGAAAGAAACATGATTAGGTAGCATGGACTTATACCATGCCACAATGCAGCGACCGTAGTTGTAGCAATACTTGCCCAGAAGGTGGATTTGCCTCTTATGGGATCAAAGAAGCAGTCCTTCAGCCACACTCCGGCATATATGTTCCAATAGTTACTTAGCTCCTTGACATCTGTTGCCAGTTCTACCTTAAGGAAGTCGATATTTAATAAGCCAGGAAAGTTTTGGAATATGAAGCATCCGTGTGAGAAGTGCCATACAAAGTAGAACTTTAGTCTATTGCCTACTGTGAAGAGGTATAAACACATTAATCGTATAGGTAGTGGCAATAAATTCTGTGTGATATACTCTTTAGGTATGCTGATTCGTATAGTCTGAAAGAGAATCAAAAAGAGAATCGACTTCAAGAAAGCGCCATGAAAAAGCTTTTTTGGCCTTTCATATCTGTTTTTCATGAAGCTTTCGAATGTTGGAACTGGCCCCATAAGGAGCCCGGGAATGAAAAGGACATAAGACAGTGCGTCTCTGATTGTATTTCTGTCTTTTTTATATTCTTTCCCAAGATACGACATTTTTATGGTCATTAGCATTAGAATACCGGATATATCGAATGCACCTGAAATTCTTTGCTCAATATGTATTCCAAATGTTTTGTATATGTAGAGGATTGCTATATTTATGATAGTGAACGAGTATCTTGACATTGAGGAGCACTTAAGCAGGATCATATTGAAGGAAAGCGATGCAATTAGATAGAGCATGTGCTTGTAGTCGAATGCAATCTGCAAAACTATTAGAGATGACACTAAGCTATGGATTGCTGATCTGTTTTTCATATTGTAGCTTATGAGCATTGTCAGAAGAAGTGAAATCAGCATTTTCTTCTCAAGAGGATCGATTTTAGAAAGTACCTCCATTATTGCAAGGAGACGAAAACAAAGATATTTGTTGATTTCGAATGTGCGGAGCCAATAATCTAATTATATGTTTGCCTTAAGAATGCCAACAAGCTATAATTGGATGATTTAATCGTAGATGGTATTCAAGTATTTTATAAGCCGTTCTTTTTGCTTACTTTCTACAAAAACCGAGTTAATGTATTCAGCTAATGCATGCACACTTGTATCTTCAATGCTTAGCTGCGTCCACATTGGTAGAAATGCCTGTAGATTGTTTTCTTCATCGAGAAGCAATATGCAATACAATCCTATTTCGTTTACATCGCCTGTGAAGGATTCAAGTGCCCATTTTTTGATGTCTGGAGGATATATGTCCATCATTCGATCAAAATTTGGATTGTCTTTGATGCTGTTCATGTAGCACACAATTTCCTTTACATCATGATAGCATATCTTGAAATGCATGCTATTTATATGTAATAGCTTCAATGGTTTAGCAACGTCTACGACTTGATTATCACCTAGATGGAACACCTGCTGTATATTGATACCGTTTGAGATGTTCCATGCTGAGCAGAATGGAATGTGTTTGTAGATTTTATCCAGATCGGGCTCGTTTTCAACAAGATCCAGCACCAGCTTTGCTTTTGTGTACGCCGAGCCCTTTTTGATCAAGAATGTATTTGACGATGCAACGCTTTTGATGGTGTATCCCTTTTCTTTTGATATGATCTGTGCTGCTGATGATCCAGTCAGCATCGATATTTGCTTGTTTCCTATGACTACGAAAAATGTGTTTGTGTTTGTGCCCATGGCGTGCAAAATTTACAGTGAAGATGTTAAATTTGTTAGCGAGAATTTGAATGCAGCGAGGGCATGCATTTCTAACGAGATTCTTGGGATCAAAAGCGACCTGCTATCTGTGTATTTAATGAATCTGGTTTTGTACAAGGAGATGAGCGAAGAAGAACGAATTGGAAGTCCCATTACGGAGATGCTTTTGAAGACAAGCATTCTTCTGGAGAAGGTGTGCCAGATGGAAAAGAGAGCAAGGAAAGTTAGTGAATCAAGAGACACTGTGGAAGTAGAAGTGGAAGCGAATGTAGAAGAGGAGAAGAGAAGGGTTATTAGCGAGGAGATGAAACGAAACAAGTTTGTGAAAAAAAGGAAACATGAGGATAGGAATCCCAAATTGAAGTACAGAAACAAGGCAAGAAAACTTGCAGAAAAAGCTGAGGTTAGGCATGATGGAAATATAGATGTCAAGAAGAATGGTGGAAGTAAGCTTAAGTAAGCATAGAATGATTGACTATCAAATACAAAATCACAAATAAATTAGGTTTTGGAGTTATAGTATGCAAGTTTTTTTAATATGTGATGCAGCGAGATGACGGTTGCGCAAGCATTATTTTACATGAGTTGAATGTGTGAGCAGAATTTTATTTGTGATTTTTTGCCCTGATAGAAATGAGCGGGGTGAAAGGTGACAATGTGACGTCTGAGCTACTGCTTGCGATGAAGTCTGGAAAGTATGTGGCGGGATTTAAGAGCACGCTGGAGTCTGTGATAAACAGACAAGCGAAATGCTTGGTGATATCATCTAATTTTCCTGCTACTAAGAAGAAGCAATTGGAGTACTACAGCGTGCTAGCTGGGGGACTTCCGATAATTTTTCACACTGCAAATAATAATGAGCTTGGAAGTATAACTGAGAGAGGGCATAGGTTGGGGTGTATATCTATTCTTGATCAAGGGGAAGCAGACCTGATACCTGCAAAAGAGGATTAAAGTTATTTGGGTTATTTTTGATGTATTGCGTGTAGCAAGGAGTGATATATGTTCTAAGTAATGGGCCCACGAGTTTAAGGATGGGAGTGATTCGGCTGAAGTTGACAGATAGAATGTCTATGTCGATTGTAGTGACGATAGACACAAGAAAAACAATTGGAGAGCTTAAAGAGGAGATATGCAAGAGGGCTGGAAAGTCGAAAGAGCAAATTTTACTTGTCAAATGTAAAAGAGAGTTAGTGGATGCAATCGACATTGATACTTATGAATTAAGGGATGGAGAATGCATTGAGGTAGAATACAGATGAATAAGCAGTTATGGTACCAACTTTGTATAACGATTATCGGTGTGAGTGTTTATTTAGTATGTTTGTGCTGCTCATACGGGTGTAGATGTGTAAATGCAAGAAGAGGATGCAAAGTAAAAACACAATATAGAGAGGCCCAGAATGTCACAAAAAGCAGTAAGAGAAACGATAGTCAGCAGAAAAAAGTATGCAGAAAAAGCTCGAAAAGATATTATTGGCCATGAGATGCTGAGAACTGAAGAGTGCGGACATATTGAAGTGGAATCTGATGAAAAGACGTATGATATTACACAGGATCAGTTACTCAACCATGTAAGCATTAAAGCATGTGAGCAGGCATTTGAGCTCAAGCTTGAAGAGGCACCAATATATGCTAAGTATTCCCTAAATGGAACATACATGCTGCTTAGGAATGACAAAGGGTATCTTGCATCGTTTAATTCGAGGTCTATGGACATGCATTTTGAGATTGACTTGAATGAGGATGTTCATGATGCTTTGTATCTTCACAATGAACGGTTCATTGCAGTTGCACAGAAGAATAATGTTTTTATTTATGATGGCCACGGTGTTGAAGTGCATTGCATAAGGGATAATAGCGGGGTTTACAAGATGGACTATTTGCCATACCATTACTTGCTGGCCACAGTATCTCGTAGGAATTTGTTAAGATACCAAGATGTATCTACTGGAAAGATGGTTAGTGAGATACGAATGAAAGACTGGGACATTGCGTCCATGAAGCACAATATTTCCAATGGAATTATACATATGGGAAATGCAAAGGGAGTGGTGAGCCTATGGTCACCTAACAGCAAAGAGTACTTAATGAAGATGTTGTGCCATAAAAGTACGGTTTCCAGTATAGAAATAGATAGAACTGGTAAGTACATGATCAGCAGTGGCCTGGATGGAAAAGTGAATGTATGGGACTTGAGAAACACCTACACACAGCTCAACAGCCTGAACTCCAGATCTCATGGAATAGTGACATCCTTGAGTCAAAAAAACATGCTCGCTATGTCTTATGGTAACAAGGTGTATGTCTGGAAGGATTTTATTGAATCCAAGGGAAGTGATGTTCTGTATATGAAGCATAAGATGAGCAAGGATGTGTATAGCCTGGGGTTTTGTAATTATGAAGATATTCTATCGATAGGGCACAGCACAGGTGTTTCGAGCATAATTATTCCAGGAAGTGGAGATCCGGTATACGATTCATATGAAGATTCGCCCTTCATTTCGAAGAAAGCAAAATCAGAGAAGGAGGTTAGAATGCTTATCGACAAGATTCCATATGAGCTAATATCAATTGAATCAAATGTTGGGCGCATATACAAAACACAGAATGCCGAAATGCCTAATAATGCTTCAAAAAGGTACTTTGATGGACTGCAATCCAAGAGTGTCAAAAAAAACGCACTAAGTAGGTTTTACAAAGATAAGGCATCAGCTTAGCTCATACAGGTAGTCTGTGAGAAATAAAGTCATGGTAACATTAATCATTTTATTATTAAGATTAGGGTTTGAATATATTATGGTTTAGACATTCCTTGGCAGTGAATCGTTCGTGATGATCATATATCATTATTTTTTCCAAAAGATCGACTGCATCATCATACAAAGACTCTTCTCCAAAAGGAATAAATGAGGAAAGCGTTACTCTTTGCTCCATTCCATCAGGTCTTATGTTTGGAGAGCAAATCTGATATTTTTCCAAATATGCTCTCAAATCGTGATATCCAAGAACTCTAACTATCTTCACAAGTTGGTCATTGTTGTTTTCCCCATGAAAAAAGGGCCTTTTTTTAAACATCATCTCTGCTAGCACACATCCAAATGACCATATGTCAAGAGAATAGTCATAATACGGATAGTCTACCAGAAGCTCAGGCCCTTTGTAATATCGGCTTGCAACACGGACACTGTACTCTTTCTTTGGATGATAGAACTCAGCAAGGCCCCAATCAATTATTTTCAGCTGTCTTTTAGCATGGTTTATCACCATGTTTTGTGGCTTGATGTCTCTATGGATTATTCCCATGCTGTGGCAATATTCAAGCGCAGAAAGAATTTGTCTTGAGTAATTGACAATGTCTCTGTATCCTAAGCTTTCAAATATCTTTGCATAGTCTTCATTTTCTATGTATTCAAATACCAACGAATGCACTTGAGATTCCTGGTCTGCAACTACATCAACAAGCCTTATGATGCTTTCATGGAATAAATGCTTCAACACCAAGATTTCTCTACTGATCTTTGCTATCTTTACTGGCTTTAGTGCCTTTATTATTACCTTTTCCTTGTCCTTACGCCCCTCAAACACTTCTGAATACTTTCCCTTTCCAATCCGTTGGTATATTTGATATCTCTCTATATCACCAAGATCTATAGCATGCTTCTCGTAGTTCCAATATTCTTCCTCATGCTTCTCATTGACATCTTCATTTGACCTTGCCACTGTTGCAATGACCATTCTATTGGGATTAAAATTCACAAATTCATGTACTCAACACTTTAATTCTTGGAATAAACAGGTTTTACTCTAAAAATTCCTTGTTGGCTTGTTAAGCATATCAAGCTACCATCCTCATGAAGAAGCTGCCCTTCGCATATTGCTTTTGAATTCTTAATCCCTTTGCATTTCACAATGTAATAAACACACTCTCCAAGGTCTCTCTCGAGATCTATGAAATGGATTACATGGTTCATCGAGGTCAAAAGAGATATTTCCTTTGAAAACATAGTCAGGTTGCATGCAATAAGTGCAGTTTCCACAAGGAGAAGATCTGATACCAACGTAACCAATGCAGCCTTGACTGCAACGGTGCTCTGTTTATTTTTTATCCTAATACGGATCTGTCTCATGTCTCCAGTTTCTTTACCCAACTCTACATCAATGACATTCAAAAGCATCCGCATGTTCTCATGCAAGACTTGAAACTTCATCCTGATATTTGCTTCGCTTTCAGATGTGTTATTAAGAGCATTTGAAATATATTCTGCAAAAGGAACAAAAGTATCTTCATAGAGCCTATACGGCGTGTCTTCATAATCATGTGCATTGTCCTCAGGTCTACTAAAGCTTGCATGCATGCTGGAAACCAATATATCATTCTGATAGCAGTCCACTTGTCTCATCTCCAGAATGCCTCCGTCTCTGAGTCTTTTGACCTGATACCTGGTATCTTGGTCCGATTTGCACTTGTTAATAAACAGAATGCTCAGGTTTATTGGAATTGTGTCCTCTTCTACGGTGTAGAATGCAGAGATAAGAGATTGTGCTGCTATCTGGCCACCAAATGTAGGGTATCCAGGGATTGGCGACCAAAGATCGGTTCCTTTGAATGTCTCATCATTTTCTTTCGATATCTTTACAAATTCCATACAAAGTGTGCAAGGGTACAATGAAATCCGGATTTCATTCTTGTAATTCAAGCATCAGAAAACATTTTTTTAGTCCTTAGCAATATGTCGGTCGGCCCATTGCATGGCAAGACATTTGTATTTACTGGGGATTTGTCGATCGGAAGAGATGATGCTAAGACAAAGGTAAACCTTTTGGGCGGTAGATGCACAACCATTCCTTCGTCACGCACGTCATTTGTGGTTGCAGGGCAAAATCCAGGGCCACAGAAGATAAAAAAAGCAAATGAGTTAGGCATAAGCATACTGGATGAAAGCGATTTCTTAAAGTTGATTGAGGAAAGTTCAAAGGGATTTGATGACAGTGTGGATGTAAAGCATAAAAGCGATTCCCATGAGGCTCAACCAACAAATGTAATCTGTAGAGAGGCATGGTGCGAGAAGTATAGACCAAAACGAAAAGAAGATCTCGTGGGGAATACAATTGCAATGAATGAGCTAGAAGAATATCTTAAGGCTGGGGTTTATAGTAAAGCTGTTTTGTTGAGTGGTACTCCGGGAATTGGAAAAACAGTATTGGCACATATTGTCTGCAAATCGCTTGGCTTTGATGTGGTTGAATTCAATGCAAGCGATGTTAGAAATAAATCTGAAATCGCAAGTAAGATCAGGAGATTTGTTACAAGCCATTCTATTTTTAATTCGGATAAAAGAAGTAAGGTGCTAATAATGGATGAAATTGATGGAATGACGGGCGACAAGGGCGGTATTTCAGAGCTGATCAATACTATTAAAGAAACGCGGATTCCAATAATATGCATCTGTAATGACAGGTATGATATGAAGATAAGAAGCCTTGTAAATCATTGTATTGATTTGAAGGCAAAGAAACCAGATTCTAGACAGGTATTTATCAAGTTGAAGTGTATTCTTGATAAAGAAAAAAAAAATGTGCCTGACGGATTGCTTAATGAAATAGTTTTTAAGAGTGGGGGAGACATCAGATACGCAATCAATATGCTACAGAGTGTAACAATGAAGCATAAGCTTGGATCTGATCAAGCAGATATGTTTGTAAAAAAAACAGTTGCAAAGAGTATTTTTGATATCGGGGTTGAAGTGTTTCAACGAAAGACAATTGATGAGAAAATAGATCTTTACTTTGAGGATTATTCACTGATTCCTCTTTTTGTGCATGAAAACCTTGCAAAGACAGTGTTCAAAGGAATTAAGGATCTAAGGGACTCTTTTGATTCAATTAGTATAGGCGATGTTGTTCAAAGTAAAATTCAAGGAGCAAGCCAAGATTGGAGTCTAGCACCTTTACATGCAGTATATAGTATTGTTATTCCTACAAATAACAAACAGTTATCAAAAAGATTGGATTTTCCATCATGGCTGGGGCATAATTCAAAGCATTTGAGGATAGAAAGACTTCTGAACACATTTTCGATCCATTCCTCGTGCAAAATATTTACATCTGCAAGAGAGTTGAGAAAGTATGCATTGGAGTTGATGCTGAAGAAGTATGTGTATTATTTACAGAAAGGCAATTTTAAGAAAGTAATCGATGATATGGTTCTATATGATTTGACCAAAGATGATATGAACAATATAAGCGATATTGTTATTGGAGGAGATGCTATTTTTAAAGAAATCGGAAGAAAAGAAAAAGCATTACTAGACAAGGAATATAAAAAGCTTGATAGAAAGCTTCCATACTTCGATGGAGAAACATTTGGTCCTGATGAAAGTATGGATTCAGATTAAACACACCAAGCTAGCCACTATTAAATGTTATCCAACATATTTATTCTCACATGCCTGTCTTCATGATCTTTTCGTAGCACAAAGGCTCGATTGCTGGATATCTCATGTGCTCCTGGATGTATCTTGTAAGGTGCACACAGTCTCGGATACCAATTCCTATATCGCATCTGCTCTTGGCATCCTTCATCGAGTAGAACACCCCATCCACAACTTGTCCTCGCACCAGCCCCTTCCTCATCGTTCTCTTCACTACATACTCAACTTCCCCGGCATCTATACCCAGCAGGCATGCTATGTCGTCGCAAGAAATCCTCGAATACACAATGCTTATCTTCCTGATTCCCTCTTGTATCACATTCTGAGTCAGCCTCCTTGCAACAAAGTACACGCCTTGTGCAATATACTCATGCCTGTTCCTCTCAATCACGTCCTCAAACATCCTCAGGTCCGCCCTCTTGACTGCCGACACAAGCTCAAAGTATGCTTTCTGCCCCCGCTTATACTTGTACGGTATGTTGTAGTTGCTGTTCAGCAGCATGCACAGAATAATACGCTTCTCTGCTGCATCCACAAGCCCTCTGCTCGATGACAGCACCACGCTTGTATGGAAGCTGCTCAGGGCTTCATCATACATGCCCTCGACCATCGATATTATCCCGGTGTAGTAGCTGTATCTTGCTTGTTCAGATGCTGTGCACACCACACTCTCAATCCGTTGGAATATCTTGTTACTTACAAGCATGTCGAGCAGGCAGTTTGTTATCACAGACACCGTGTGCTCGTTTCCAAGCTCTCTATTTGTCACAAGAAGACTGAACAGTGCCGAGCAGTCCATGCCTTGGCTCTTCCTTGCAAGATAAAAGAACTTCACTATCAGCCCGACAAAATAGTCATGCACCCTTTTGTTTCCAATCAGGCACGGAAGCAGCTCGTCGTCAATGACTCTGCTGATCCTGCAGACATCTCCATTCATAAAAAGCACGCCAAGAAGGATAGGATACACAGCCATCTGCTCAAGCTCGCCCTGGCATGCAATCGTGTCCAGCTCCTGCACTGAGATGTTCTTGATGAACACAAACACCCTTCTTGAGTAGTGGTCGATTGCCTGCTCTCTGTTTGTGCCAAGAAGCTTCAGAACCTCGATGAGCTCATTGATGTATTCATTGTCATGCATGCTGGGGATTGTTTATTGTGTAAAAGAGAATGTGTGATTTGCAATGCGAAGCACGTGTGAAGCACAAGCGTGCGTGTAAGGAATGCATTGGCGTATGCACATGCCATAGATGCAGGATAATGCATGCCAAGAATAGATGTGCGATGGTAGCCAATCAACAAGGCTCTGAGAATGTTGTGAGTGAATAAGGAGAATGGGCGTACAGTATAGGAGAGGCACAAATACGGAGCAGCGGCTGTGCATATGCAATCATCAGTGCACATGAGCATATGGATGGTCAGTAATTAATGACAGGTGTTAATTGGTTTGGAGGCAATGTACAATTTAGGAATATTTTAATTAAAAGAATAAATAGTAAAACTGAGAGTGGGTGAGGGATGAGGTCGTTGATGTGTGTGGTAACAGGTTTGTTATTTTTTGGATCGATTGCAGCAGAAGTCACTTATCAAGGCTTAGCCACTAATCCAGATGTGGTGCAGATAGAAGAGATATCAGAAACGTATCCTTGTATGGCAGAATACTTTGAGAAAGAGGCCGCGAGTGCTAATAAACTGATTGAACCGATTACTAATCTGATGAATAATTCGAAGCATAAACACCATTCGAGAGAGCTTAACGAGCTGATTGAATGTATTAGGGCGTATAGTGAAGCATCAAGAGAGATGGCTAAGGTATCATCGAATCCGAATTCATCGTTTGAGAATCGACGGGATGCGCTTGCAACAATGAAAAGCTGTACAATCAGTATTGATCATATAATATCTAAGATCAACACCGTGGATATTGTTATCAAGCATTCGCAAGAGATTTTCAGTATGTGCGAGGATGTGCTTAAATCAATGCAGAATCAGGAATCTGAGGATGAAATAATGGAAAAGATGGGTCATTTCCATAGACGTATGAATGTGTTTGCAAATTCTCCAATTATAGAGCTGGTTCGGGTCAATGGGAATGACGTAAAGGCCATATGTGCAGAATGAGAGCGGAGGATTAAAGTTGCTGTGGTAAAATAAAGCGATTATTGGATGTTTTTAGAGCTTATTTGTATGTGTCATACTGCTATGCTATGTTTGTACTGTTAGTGTTGTATGTGACATGCCAATTCAAGTTGATGCAGTGAAGTTTTCTTTGTACCCTTTCGATGCTTTCTGCGATGAATTTGTTACTTTGCGTGAGCAGTCAGTTGTATTCTGCGGATAATGCATCATGCTGTGCGAGCAGTGGATTAGCGGCCAGGGCTCCATGTGCAGTCTCGATGCCTGTGCTTGTGCTTGTATGCAGATGGGCGGTGGGGCATGATGACGTTGCTGCACACATGGAAGAAGACTCTGGATTTGTGAAGATACGGTACAATAGCATGAGGCTT